TGTGTCAGAAAGTCTTCTCTTTCAAGCAGCCCATGCATCACTTGGGGTCTTTTGTACAATATGTCAGACTCTTTTGAGACGATCCAATTCTGTGGCTGAAAATAATTCTCCCAAATGTTAACTCTAGGGGAAATACAGATGCATGAGAAGAGTGTCGCTTGTGTTACTGAAGCTTTCCAGTATGCTCTTTCTTTTGCAGTCATTTGTGGACATCAGAAGCTGCTTTGAAACATGGAAGAAAATACAGAAGACCCTCCAAAATGCTGCAGAAGATGACTTCTGGATAACATCTGGATAAAGGGGGATTAGCAAAAATTAGGCATACTCTTGCAGTTGCAAAATAGCATTTCTTGAGGGTTGTTCTGAATTTTGCCCTGTCGCTCTAATAAAACCCTTGAAGGGATTTTTCTTTTCTTTGTGGCAACCTTTTAAATATTTGAAAATGCCAATTTGTCAAGAGCTAACTAGAAAGATCTGCCATGTGAATGGCATGTATTCATTCCTTCTTGCTTTCTACATATTGAAGTAATGTCAGACTCAATACAAATAAGACATGTCCTGTAGAATTATTGCTTCTAACCCCTTTTACTTCTGAGCAGATTAGAAAACCTATTATTCTTCTGACATGCTAATGAGTCTTTTAGCCATTTTTTTCTAATTTCAGAATCTTTGAACATTCTGTCTTTTTCCTTGTACATTTTTTCTTCATCTGCTCAGTCTGTTTAGGTCTGTGGTGGCTAACCTTTTTGGGTTCCTGTGCCCAAAATTGTGCACACGCTTGTACGCTCACTCTTGTGTGCCAGCACCTAAAAAGCAATGTGCCCCCATGTCCCCTATGCATGCGCGCGCAATCCCCACCCACCACCACCCCACTGCCCCCTTGCACTGTGCCTCACAGCTGATTTTTGGCTGGTTTGAGGCCTTTTTCGGCCTCCCAAAGGCTTGAGGAAGGCTTCTGCAGGCTTCTACAAGCTTTATAGGCTGACATCTAGCCCTGTTTTGTCACTTCCAGTTTTTCCGAAAATACTGGAAGTGATGACACGGAGCTAGATTTAGGCCTGCAAAGCTTGTAGAAGCCTGCAGAAGCCTTCCTCAAGCCTTTGGGAGGCTGAAAAAGACCTCAAACTGGCCAAAAATCAGCTGTGAGGTGGGCATATGCACAGTGAGGTAAATTTGCCTGCAGCTCGCGTGTCAGCACAAATGGCTCTGCCTGCCATCTGTGGCACGCTTGCCATAGGTTCGCCATCACGGGTTTAGGTTCTTCCTGAACTGGCTGTATTATTTATTCACATATGATTTTACAACCATGGAATTGCAGCTCTTCACTGTATTTCACAATAATCGCCAAGCTTTCCTGTATATAGATACCTAAGAAATTAAGTTGGGAAAGATTCCTTGTAAAAATACTTACAAGTAGGAGTCCTCTACATTTGATATGAAGAATTATGTAGAGCTATTATCCAGGTTCCCAGGCCCTCAAAATGTGATTATGCCAACAGTGTTTGGGATCTCAGAAAATGATCATTTGTTGAAATGTTTGTATTATCTTTTACACCAAAGATAGACTCTTTTTAAAAAGTTGATCTTTTTAAAATAATAGGGTGTTTTAATGTTTGTTCTATGGCTTCTTTTATACGCTGCCGAGACACATGTTTCATGAGTGGGCAGCTATATACATGTAAGGAATAAATAAAATGATTTGTTGATTGGGATGGACAACCAAACCTTTGAGCCCCATGTAGTCCTCTTGTTATTGTTGTTCAATTGTTAAGACTTAGCTAAGTTGTGTCCAACTCTCAATGGCCCTATGGACCATAACATGCCAGACACACACACCCCCATTGTCCATGCAGTCCCCAGAGTGGTTCAAACTGTATCCTGTAAAAATCCAACAAATATCCAACAAACATTTTTACAAATAGATATCTTCAGGATATCTGAAGAGACAATTCAACCCAATAGAACTAGCCCATCCCATTCACTCTAATAGAAGGGGACTGCTACAGACCCTGTCTGTTAAGAATTCCAGCAGGCAGGATCAAGGAGAACCTTTTCCACTGTGGCCACATGTCCCTATGGAACACTCCACCACCAGAAATGAGAACTTCTGCCACTCTTTTGGCCTTCCAGAAGGATGTTAAAATCTGATTTTGCTAATTAGTTTGGGGCCCTGAGTGGGGAACTTACCCCTAGAGATGGTTGATAGGGTAAGAAGATTTCATCCCCATGCAGTCTTGTCACCTTGGTTCTATGTTTTGCATGGTTTTTAAATTTAATTTTTTTTCCTCTTTATCTTTTTACAGTTTGTAACCCACCCACCATTGCCTTATCACGTGTGCCATATAAATTTAATAATAAATAAATAAATAAACTGGGCCTTGCTTTAAAACATTGCTGACTTGTGCTTTATCCATTGTAACCTCACTGGTCTTTTTTTTCCCAACAGATCAGATTAAATCACTGTTGAGGAATTGCTGTTGAAAAAATGTTCCTGTATTCTAATTCATCTTCTATATATTAAAAGAGCCATATGGACTGGGTTTGGGCAAAATAGCATACACAGCTCATCCATGGTAGGTACAACTGAGGACTTTTTCCTGTATCAGTATGCAAGAGTCTGTCCAGAAAAAGTAAAAATGGCAGCCTAGAGGGTTCCATGAAAGCTTTGTCTATTCTGTATTTGCATCAAATGTGCAATGTACCTAAAAACAAGTAGAGTTTTGATTGCACCATCTGGTTGGCAATCTTTTTGACCATCCCCTGTGGCTTCTTATTTGTTATTTGTTTATATTCTAGCACCTTGCACAGAATTTAATATGCAGCTGCTTAATTTATTAGCTTGGATATCTAATGTCTATTTTGCTGCATCTAATGTTTATGTTGATAGAACAATTTCTAGGACTTTCATTTTAGAAGCATGGGATGTTTATGGGAAGGAATATCTTATAAAAACAGAAAGGCAGGGAATGCATTTCTGAAATGAGGGGTGGTAACAATATTTCCCCAAAGTAATAGATCATCTGGCAGTTTGTCCAAGTGACACTAAATACTACACCTGTCCTTCTGGTCATTTTTCTCCCTGGTCATATTCTTGGATTCTTTTTTAAACAATTACTTGAACAAAAATAAGAAGATAGGATTATGCAATCAGAAATATCTATGAAAAATACCCATCACCTTGACTTTTTGAATCCTCTTTCTGCATAGCCCTCTAAAGTTGCTTTGCAGAGCAAGCCTCCTTCAAGTTGCACTAATGGCAATATGGATATATCTATGCAGCTCTCATGCAAACCCTAAAACTGGTTTATGTTTACCTATTGTTTTCTGGTTTAGAATAATTATTGATTTAAAAAAAATGAGGGTTTTTTTAAACTTCCTAATCCATCTTCAGCTATAAAATATCTTGGTAGTTTTCAGTCCATGTATTAATTCAGTCTAACCCTGCTTAGCTTCATGTGATCAGACAACAAATCACTTACGAAGTGTTACATTTGTTTCCAAGAATGTTGAAGCAAATCCTCAAAAATGTGGAACACAGCTACAGTCTAGGAATCTTTCCAAGTCTGTCTTTCTGCTGGTGTGTGTGTGGGGCGGGGGGGGGGGGGGTGTGAGGTAGTGGGAAGAAAAGGTAAGAAGAGGTCATAGAGAAGAAATTGCAGGAGTGACGCCATCAGAGTTATGCCTTGGGATAGGGGTGGGATTCAAATTTTGTAACAACCAGTTCTCTAGGCGTGGCTAGGTGGGCATGGCCATGTGACTGGGTAGGTGTAGCTTTCCCCCCCCCCTCCTCATTTTGGGGCCTTCTGGGCCTCAGGGAAGCATCCTGGGAAGGGAGGGTTGCTCCCAGGAAGCTTCCTTGGGGCTCAAGAAGGAAAAAAAAACTGAGCATATTAAGGGCGTGCAGAACCCCCCTGTGCTCCATTTTGGGGCCTCCTGTCCCTCAGGGGATCCTCCTGGAGGGGGCATTTTTTTGCTCCCAAGAAGCTTCCCTGGGGCCCAGGAAGGCAAAAAAGGGAGGGGGTGCTGTGTCCCCTCTCCCTTTTTTTGCTTTCCTGGGCCTCAGGGAAGCCTCCTGGGCGAAGCAGTAAGTAAACGAGGAATAGGAACAGCTGATGGTCGGGGGAGGAAATACCTTAAGGAGTGACTGGGGGAAAGTACGCAGTTAGTGATGTCGGGCATGTGTGCAATTGTTGTGCATGCACGATAAAGACTGACTGGGAGGGGAGGGGGAAGGGTGGGCGGAAAGGGGCAGGGCCAGCCAGGTGGACAATTTGCTGGTTCTTCGAACTACGCAGAATCATAACAACTGGTTCTATAGAACTGGTCCGAACTGGTAGAATCCCACCCTTGCCTTGGGACATGGGTGTTTCATGAGTGGCCACACATATATGTTCCACAGCATTGAATTATGTTTTTTAAATTCAAATGTACCTATTAGCTTACCCCAAATGTTGGGCACCTCCAGCATAATATACAATTCATTTCTACAGCAATGTTTACTCTATGAATTTCAGTGAAAGATCACGACCATAGCAACTATTTCCCTCCATAACTTTTAACTGTAGTACTAGCCTTAATGGGTTAACTTTCATTCAGCATTTTTATTTTATAGGGGTTTTTTTTTTACGTTCCTAAGCAACTGTAATTAGAAGAGGAATACAGGATGACACTATAGCATTTCCAAAGGATAAATCTACAGCAGATGGCAAAACTCTTCTATTTTTCAGATGACAGCATTATGTACATCCCATTTACCTTCCTTCAGCTCCTGAGATCAACCAGATTTTCCAGCCTTCAACTGTTTTCCAGTCTTCAGTTGTATAGACCCAGCATTTTGGTGTTTACCAGAAACTTCAGCAACTAATTTTTCATCATCAGTCATTCATAAAATAAATCATAATGCCAAATACTCTGCTAGGGGGATAAACTCCTACTCCATGGGAAACAGTGCTTTTCAAAATGTAATATCAGCGGGGAAACGATGAGGACAGTACACAATTGACAACTAGAAAGTCCTATTTTTTATTTTTTTTTATTTAAAACATACTTATTGTAACATATCTTTCAATCAACTTTGGACAGCTCTCAATCAAAATATTTTTTTAAAAGCTATCTATCATGTAAGGCCAATACGGATGTCTTCTGAATGAAGACCTTTTCTAGCAGCATTTTCAAATCAGTGGGGTGGCTCTTGAATATAAAAATTATCTCTGGATACTAAGGTTTCCTTTCCCACTATGAAGACAACTAAGTTCTGTCAAGGAAGAAAAAGAAATTGTTCCACATGGGACATGTTGAAATGGGAGGATAATACCCTTATTGAATTTCCCAGGCTATGCAGTGAATTAAAAGAGACATAGAAGCTTATGATCTTGAGTCACTTTCTCAGCTGGCATGCATGTTCACCTTATTTTACAGGTGATGCGAGAGTTTCCAGCTGTCAAAAGTACTTAAGCAGACCTAAATCTAACATTCTAATTTGTTAAAGCATGCTTGCTAGAAAGCTGTCCCAATAGATTTCAGTGTTTTGGATTTTCAAGCAAGCACGTTGGGAATTGAACTTGCTGTATCTTAGCACCAAGTACACAAGTTAACCAATGCTCAAAAGATTGCTTTTTCTAACCACCACCTTTTGTGTCTCTGAGTACAAAAGGGTTAGTCAGGAAAGCAGCGCATCTTAGTAAAAATCTCTAATTTCAGGCAAAATCTCTCAGTAACATTTCTAAAGCCATCAAAATGGGCCTCCATGTTGAAACTAATGAAAGATTCATTTTATTAATATAGTTGTTTTTTTTAAATTCAACATGGCATACATAGGATTCATTGAAACAGAGTGATTGGTCCAGAGAGATCCAATTAGATTGATCGGTCAAGTGGTATCTTGAAACTGGATTTCTCTACTTAAAGTCCAAGTACTGCTTTCTACCAGCTTTCCAGAAAAAGTCTCATTCGGACCAATGTTGCCCTCATTCCAGATATCGGCAATTGGAAATGCAACCCCCTAGGAAAATACTTCTGTCACTGCCATATTGAAATATTCAAGAACTGTGAGAAGGGATCTCAAGAGTAGAATTTGAGCAATTAAAACCAAGGAAAGGGGCCAAACAATGCTCCTGGTGCATATTCAAGTGCCCCATAGATTTTCCTCTTGATTTGTTTACATTAACTCACTCACTAACTCACTTTTACTTCCAAGGAAGTAAAATAAATAACCATAAACTTGAATGTCCAAGTAAAGATTTGGGCTTTGGGAGTTTGGCAGACCGGCTTGGCATTACTGTGGAGAACTGCAGGCAATGTCTTAACTCATCTTTCTGAGGTAGGCAGCAACCAGCTCAGGGAGAAGAAAGCAAAATATTTTTCTCCTTTTATTTCCACCTGTTGTTCCAGCCATTGTCCAGACAAGTCAAAGCAGGTAGAAATTAAGTGAAAGAATAAATCTGTTTCTATACAAGGAAGAAGAAAGACCTAAGTACATATATATATATGTGAAAAGAGATTGTGCATGCTGTCATATCTTTTGGATTGCTTCGGTATTTTTTCAAAGAACAAGTGTTATTCCGATAATATATTCCATCTTAAGTCATACTATACCATGATATCATTTAAGTTTGCCAATCTAACATGGATTGTTTTTAAATTTTCCCTTAAACAATAATGGAGAAATCTTTTTTTTTTGTTTTTTTATTATTGCAGTAAGAGTTGTTTTTTTTTAAAAAAAAATGAGTGTAAGATAACAAATCTTGGCTTCCGTGCATATCTTTAGGAAATTTGATTTGTATAGGATGTAGAGAAATGTACAGAATGTCATGTTTCTCAGCATATCCGGCCACAGATAAGTCTTAAAAGTTCAGACTACCTAAAAGCCTTTATCAATTTCTTAACAGATTCTTGTTCTTAATAAAGATGGAAAGGAATCGAAAATGCTGCCTCTATTGCCCTCTAATGGTGAGATGAGCTATGGTATAAGTAAAAAGCAAATACTAAACTGTTTAACCAGTGATCACACCCAGGATCATACATAAACATAGGTAGCTGTCATACAGAATCAGATCATTACCTCATGTCTGGAAGATGCTAGGTGGGTCTTTCAGACAAATCCAGATTTTCTATTGGAGGCATTTTTCATACAAGGTAATAAAAAATGTGCCTGGAGACATCTGCATAACTAACATGTATCTAACTTTCAGCCCTGTCGTATTTAGTCATTTGGGTGCTACAACATTTCTTCTGAAGTCATTGTGAATGGCTGCAGCCATGCTTTGTATAGAATTGAAAAAATTATAATTATTATTCTGCTTTCAAAATGGCTGCTGGTATAACCAAGATTTTTCACAAACAATGTTAATTTTGTGAATACCTCTCCAGTTTCATTGTGACATGTCCTTCACCACTTTGATTCATATCTTTGTGCAAACATTCAGACATGAAACAGGTCAGGGGAAGTCCCCCAGGGGTTTCGCCAGTAGACGGAAAGAGAGAGACAAAGCTTGCAACTGGTTTGTGTTTCTTCCTTAATATTCAAAACACAATCTGGCATAACCATTATTTATTGCATGGGGAATCAGGTCTGCTCTAAATGGTCGAGGCATCTATTCATCCCAGAATGGAAATGGATGGACAAGCTCCTCTAGTATGTTCTTGAAAACTGAAAAACAAAATAAGGTTAATTTGTGTCTGTGTTACATTTCATTTCAGGAGCAAAATCTTAGAGGCAAGGCAAGATATTTCAAGAGTGCTTCATAAAGCAAAATGATTTGATTGAAACAATCTGCTGCTCTCCAAAGCCTTTAAGACCCAGGATTGCTCCAATTCTGTTTATAATTTTCAAGGAAAAAAATTCAGGAATTAGGGAGTTATCCTACTATTGTATCTTCAGCTAATTTGTTTAACTTTAAATGTAATTAAATCAGATGTAATCCTGGTCACATTCCTTTTATGAATCTTACTTCTGGCATGCTATTCAGAAGACATATACACTCTATGGCCCCTAAAATATTTGTACCCTAACTTTAAAGGAAGCATAGCTACACAGCATCAAAAATGGGGTTATCTCAATTCAGCTTCCCACTTTTAGCCCTAATCATATCAAAATATTTCCACATGCAGAAACCCTAGATAATTGGTTTTTACTTCTCAATTGAACTGAATATACTTGGTGGGGCTACAAGATGGTCTGTAAATCTGTAGCATCTCAAAGCTAGCACAGCATTAAACCTAAGAATTTCAAACTTCATTTTTTTTGTTTTTAAAAAGCACATTTCTATTATAAAAAAAAACAGCTTGAAAACAAATGTTTCCTTCTTGTTTATGAGGACAGTCAATAGTTTACAGGCAAAAAGAAGTGTGTGGCTTTATTTCCTGACTTTCTTCTAAAGAGGCCAAGTCAAGTCATTGTGCGTAGAGATCATCTCATGTGTAGTTAACAAACCTTCATAACTTTGTGAGGTAGGCTGGGCAGAGAGCAAATGATTCAAACTAATCCAATGAGCTACATGTCCGATAGAACTATGGTGGGGTAGTAAGCATGCTCTTCCTGAGGGTATTTGACTGAGACAAAGAATCTGAAAATGTTTTAGTCATCCTCCAGCAGTATGGAAGCCCAATACATCTGGCTGAGTATGGAGATGTCTTTGCTTTCCCAAGAGGCTTCCAATCATGTCTTTCCTTCTCTAAATATACAGGAGCCATTTTCTTTTCTTCTTCAGCATCAGTGGAGAGTTGGCAATGCAAACCATTAAGAAGGAAGGAGATACCTCTGAAGAGCTCGCTTAACCATACTTAGGACATGGTATTCTACGTTCCATCCTTTCTGAAGGATACTTTGGGGTTTTTAATTTAGCCTATTTGAAGTGTGACGCAGATATTAATGAGAAACCAAAATAAATATAAATACTGATAGGTATTTGAGTTCTTCTTGGCACTTGGTGACTTTATGCATGTTCTTGCATTATTTTCTTGGCAATAATATAGAAGCAATTTGTTGTGATGCTTTTTTTTTTACTCCATAGCCTGCTTATAGCCCTGGGATTTCATTATGTTTTCCACTGAAACATAGGTCTGGCTTTGCTTCGCTTTTTGACAAGAGCCATGATTGGGTGGATTCTACCCTCTTCCTGGTCTAAGCAAAGATACAAATACACAGGAACAAAGAATCACATTTGCTGCAAGAGCATTTTTTTGCACTCTTTCTCTTTGGTTCAGGCTGTCAGAGGCTTTCCGTTCATCTCTATCTTGTAAAGGACTTTGCCTTTTGGCACTGAGGATGAATCGGAGGGCAGGTTGAATATTCTCTCCAAGGATCACCCCCATTTACTTCTTATCACAGACAATCTGCAGTCACATACTTTTTCAGCTCCTATGTTGTGCATTCATTATCTTGCTCTATCCCCCTCCTCCTTCTGCTCAATCATATTGATTCTCAGAGACTGCCTGGAGAAGTCGGCTGTTTTCTTGGTGAGGTTTTTCAGAAGTCATTGGCTATTGTATGAAAGTGGCTGGCCCAAGGTGACCCAACTTTCTTTGTGCCTAAGGCAGGGCTAGAATTCACAGTCTCCCAGTTTCTGAGCTGATGCCTTAACCACTACACCAAACTGTCTCTCAATCTTGCTTCGACTGACTCTTTTACACCCTCTAATCCAGGGCTGTCAAACTCACGGCCTGTGGGCCAGATATATCACACGCTAGCCACACCTACAACCGGTTTGGCAAAGGAGAATAAAGTCCCTATATGTCACATGATGCTGCCATGATGACACAAGTTTGAGAACCCCTGCTCTAATCTTTTAAATAAGGCCCATGTATGTGAGTGATGTCTTCTTTACATGTTGCTGATAAAAAAAAATGAGCTTGCTTTTTCACTCAGAACACATTAGCTGATGGCCAGCATATATCCATTTACAACAGCCCACAAGATTTCTATTCATTCAGAAACACAAGGGACTAGTAGCACCAGATGATGATTATCTTCTTTTCTTGGCAGAGGGACAATGATGTCCTTTCTTCATGAGTTGTGAATTCCATAACAGATGGATCACACGTCATGTCTTCCTTCACTTAACCATCGGGCCCGATATGCTGTCCACCCTCTTGGACTCTTATTTATTTGGGAATCAGTAAATATTTGAGCCAACTTGGCTTGGATCTTGCCTTGCCAACTGCAGTCACCAAACTCAGTGGCAGCAGCCAAGGCCAAGAAGAAGTAACTGGCTGCATCTTGCTCATCCTGAGAATAAAAAGAAAGAAACAAAAGTAAAGCACTGGAAAGCATTTCCAGTCAAGGCTGAAAGCATGATAGGGATGAAAAAGGGTCCATTGCCTAAGAAATTTAGAAAAACCTTTCAATACTCCCTACTTCTGCTGACTGCCAGCTGACTGCAATTTGGCAGTTTGAATCTCATCAGGCTCAAGGTTGACTCAGCCTTCCATCCTTTCAAGGTCAGTAAAATGAGGACCCAGATTGTTGGGGGCAATAGGCTGACTCTGTAAACCACTTAGAGAGGGCTGGAAATCACTGTGAAGTGGTATATAAGTCTTAAGTGCTATTGCTATTGCTACAGATTGGAACTTTAAATGGCTTTTCCAACTCTATGTTATGATGCTTCACCCCACTCCCAAAAAAATATCTGTATGACAAAGAAACCTTGAAACTAGTATAACCCTATACTTCAAGCATTCCCCAACCCTCCAAGTTTTTAATGAGGCAGAGTGTTGCCAAGTAACACTCCCAGTTTATGACTTATGCAGAGCAAATGAATGAATGCAGATTTGATTGCTTGGAATCAACAATACATTAATTTCATACATGTTAAGAACAATTAATAAGCATGAAATAATATAATATGTATAAAGGGACATAGGTGAGTTCCTAAAGGAGCAGGGTGGAACTATTGAAAATCATATCCAAAGCAAGGGTATTTAGAAAGGGAATGGCAACCGCAGAACAAAATAAGGACAGCATCAAAAGTAGAAGACAACAGGGTGGCATATTATAAATCACAGTTGACAGCCTGCCACCCAGGCCACATGTTGTTCTTCCAAGCAGTATGTGAAGCTTCCAGAACCCTTCTAAATTAGAGTGTATCAAATCTGGACTGAAAAACCTCTGATGACTACTAAAGGGTAGGAAAAAGATTCAGAGAGTTCTAGACTTTTACTGACATTTAATAATTCCTTGGAGATATTTACATTCTGGCTCCAGTTGCTATACTCCAAAGTGCAACCAAATGTCTATTTTAATTTGAAAGAAGATAGCCTTCCGGTTTGAAGGGCTTCAGTGACAGATAGAAATCCATGATCGTGCGCAGTTTCGGTCTGGGCTCGCCACTGGAGCGCCCCGAGCCGGCTGGTTTTGGGGCTAAGCCACCCCATAGAGGTGGTGAAGAGGGGGGGAGACCACCAGCAGGGTCGAGGAAAATTGCATCTCTCCTCCTCAGCTGGCCATTATTACCTTTCCCGAAGGCGGTTGCAGCGATGGTCAGAAATGGCCACCACAAAGAAGAACTCGACCGGAAAAGAATGTGCAGGAGGAAGATAAGAAGTGAAAGTTTTGGCTGACCGGGTTAAATTGTAAAAGCAATAACTAAGGTACCCTGGAATTTAAACTTACAAAAAATAACATTGCTCCCAAAGAAGAGTCGGAAGCAGTGAAGGAAAGTGAAAAGGAAAAGGTTTGGCTTTTTTTTTTTCTTCTCTCTCCTTCCCTATACTGACAACTAAGAGACTTAAATAAGAAATCGGAAAAATCCGCTTTGACATCAATAGGCAATTAAGCTGAAAATAAAACAAAATGCCAAAGGGATAATAAAGATTTCTAGACATTAAAAACTTTCTTTTTCATAAGCAGGAAGGGAGAGAAAAAGAATAAGGGCACGATTCTTAGAAATGGAGATTTGGAACTATGAAAAACAACAAGAAAAGACTGCAAAACAAGAAGACTGGGACAAAGAAGAAGCCATCTTTAATGAACAAGTAATTCTATGTGGGGAAGAAAAAGGAAAGGGGGGAAAGAAAATGGAGAATTTAAGACTTAAAAAAACAACCAAAGAAAAGAAAAATAATTCGAAAAATAAGTATAATACTGGAAAGCAATAGAAAAGGGGAATACAGAATAGAGAAATAGAGGTAGAGAGACAAGGGGGTAAAAAGGGGAGAGAAGAAGAGAGGGAAGAAGGAAAGGAAAAGAAGTTACAAAGGACCAGACAAGATATAGAGAAACAGGACCTATGTAGAGATAATGGGTGAAAATCTAACTGAAAAAGGGATTTCGTAAAGGTACATAAGATTGTATTGTTATATTAGTAATAGAAATAACTTTAGAAAATTGGAAGCAACATATGATTAAAATGAGGGATAAAATAGTTAGTGTAATTTAGTGAAATGTTTGTTAATAGAATAAGTGAAATAAAATAAATGAGGAAATTGAATTAGGAAGGAATGGGAACATTTTAATTAGTTAATGTTTTACAAAATATAAGTGAAGAGGGGGGGAATTAACTATGGAAAGCTTATAATTGTTCCCATAGAAGTATGATATTTAACTGAAAAGTAATGTTAAAGATGTTAATTAAGACTTTAATATATATTAACATTAATGATAGAATTGAATTGGAATGGAATGTTGTTTTAATTATATACATTTATAATTTTTTTCTTTTTTTAAGAGTACAGTGTGTATTTTAAGAAAGTACCAAGCAGAATCCGAATGGAAGTTACGTATTATATTGAATGTTACAACTTTAGGGAAAAGATATAAAGGCGTCATACTCCAATCAATAACTACAGGAGAAATTTTGTTTAATGAGAAAAGATAATAGATAATTGAAACAGGACAGACAAAAAATATAAATACAATGATCTGAATTGAGATGAGATAATTAAAATAAAATTGAGAAAATTAAAAGAGGGGAGAAGCTATGCAGAAAATGTAAAATAGTAATAAGATATGGAATAGAAGATAAAAATGAGCATGAACCTGAATTTGTGTCTGTACGAAGAAATGTAACCCAGGATTATGCTGCTTTCAAAAAAGATGTTTTATTTGTATTTTTTTCTCTTTGTGAAAACTCCAATAAAATTTACAAAAAAAAAATTTGAAAGAAGATGAGGAATTATTGAGTGTGTGAGAAAGGATCACCGTGGCTCAACTTAACTGAAATGGAATAAAGTAAAATTTAGCTTTTATCCTAGCTTTAAAGTATACCCCTTTGAATGATTTGTCATTCATAGACCAAAGTCTGTCATAAATGTCATTAGCCTGACATAAATAATATATCCCTTTTGTAAACTGAAAAAATATTAACTGAACAAAGGTGACCTGAAGGTCCAGAAAATGGAATAGTTGCTAACACTGCAGCAAAAAAATTGCACTCATTCAATATTTTCACAAGATTCTAAATATCTTCATTTTTAAGTGTGAAGTAAATCAAACCAGAGCATCTTTACTAAAATGCTACTGGTCATTATTACATTACAGGTGCTATCTTTCACCTTTAATTTATGGAGGGTGAGATCTCCCAATCTGTAGTAAACCTTGGAGTAATATATGGCTTCTTGAACCCCTTGCAATTCTGGTGAATGCAAAGAGAGTGTCCTCAGGTAGCAGTCTTCAGCCATCTCATACATTTGCAGAAGGTAATACACAGTTGCCAGCCGGTGAAAGGCAACCAATTCTTGCAAATGATCTCCTGGAAGAAGAAAAGTGTCAAAATGGCATAAATGACTATTGGATGATTGTAAAGGCTGGAGCATTTGTAATTCTCCCCTTCCTCCTAGAACCCTGAAAGACCATGTACTTCAATCCGCAAGCAGCAACATTTCAATTGTTGCCTTCCCAGTTCCTAGGATTTGTGAAGACTTCACCATGTTCTCTTGCCACAACCTTTTTGCTTCCCCATAAAGTTAATGTGCAGTAACAATTCTGCATGCTGAAAAGTTTTACAGTAACAACCAAAAAAATCAATGCAAACAATTGTTATTTTTATGATATTCCTAATATCATAAAAATTCAATCTGACAGGGAAGAAATGACAATTTCATTAAACAGTCCATTGCTGCAATCTTGAAAAAATGTGTATACAATGTTTCTATAGACCAGGGGTGTCCAACCTTGGCAACTTTAAGACTTGTGGACTTCAACTCCCAGAATTCCTCAGCTGAGGAATTCTGGGAGTTGCAGTCCACAAGTCTTAAAGTTGCCAAGGTTGGACACCCCTGCTATAGACACAATCGTTCATAGCGGAAATGAAAAAAATGGAAGGACAGAATCCTTGCTTGAAACATGATAATGTAGGCTATTAAATTTCACTGCGATGAAATTGAACGTGCCATCTTCAAAAGCTCAGAAATATTCTACTCTAGGAAAAAAATATGTTGTCCCATGTTGAGCAGTTACAGAACAAAATAAAGACAGCGAAAATGACAAGGAAACGTGAAATAATCTATTTGATAGAAACACATTCAATTTGCTTTCAGTTAAGAATTTCTAGGCTTTTGCTTGCAATACCATTGTCAACTAACTATTGTATCCAAAAGCAAGCAATGTTTTGTACAATGCTGATTGAGTCATCTTTGTCTGGGACATCAGAAGGAAGGATAAATGTATGTGGTAATTTTTTCCTAGTGGTTGTACATTCATAAAATCTGTGAAGGCCGTTTCTTTGATTCTAAATGAAGTCAAGTATAATAAATGTTCACTTACCTTTGTAATGATATTTTGTGCCTTTTTAAACATTTACTGAGGCCAACTTGAGCATTTTAAATTGACTTGGGTGACACCATCTTCTAAGAGATGTATGTTGGCTATTTTTCTACTCACAAATCATTGACAATTTTCAGAAAATCACTTACATATTCCTGTGTTATAAACCTACCTACATCCACACTGAGTCTGACTGCCAAGGTAGCAAATTCCAAAGCATTTTCATAATTGTGGAGCCCAATTTGGAGTTCAGCTAGCTTGTTGAACACTCTCAATTCCATTTGTGTGTCTCTCAATTTCCTGGCCAAAGGTATAGCTCCTCCCTGGCAAAAACATCAATTTGTCATGGTGGTTTCATAACTTTCTACTATCCATCCTCTCCCTGCAGCCAACCAAGAGTCCCACAGAGATGTCACACAAAGCAAAGAAGACCTGATTCAGTCTCTTTGATCATCATTTTCCTTAGCATCTTTTTCTTATAACTGAGATGAACATATCTCACAGTGTTCAGGTTCATAGGTAACAAGCGCAAACATAACTTTCGTGAGCTCTCATTTTAACCTTCTCTTGAACTTTAAATGAACCTGAGATCATTTTGTTTTGTTTGTTTTCTTGTTTTGGGCAACTGGATGGCTGCCCATTTGGCTTTTGCCTAGAAACAGATTTAAGTCTATTTAATTCAGCAAAATTAAAGCCTTCTGTCTCTATCAATTTAACACAATTTGCACACATTGTTTAATATGAAAGAAAAGGCTACCATTGGATCAATCAGACCATTATAGACTTACAGGAAGTAGGCAATTTTCTTTAAAAAAATGTTGATTTCTTATTTTTAAAGATGAAAGGGCTAAATATTTTTGTCCTTTCTTTTTTTTTAAAAAAGGGAACTTCATTAATGCTTTGAACACTTAAAAAGAGATTGTAAGGTTTTGTTACTAAAAAGAGGGAAAGAGCACACATACACAACACACACACACACACACACACAAAGAAAGAGAACTCTTGCTTACTTTGTAGTTAAAGATATTTAAGTAAAGTTTTTTTAGCATGCATCCCTCAGTACATATGAAAGGGACACTTCTTGCAAGCACCACCAAGCTGTCAAATGCCACAGTTGCACCAGAATGAATTTTTACCCTAGCAATCAACAGCAGCAGCAGCAATCCAGGTTTCTTTTTAAAAAAAAAATGCTTTTCCAGTATTACCTGAAGGTATTAGGGACTGAACCAGTGACCTTTTGCAATCAAATCATGTTTTTGCAGTCAAATCATGAAGGCATGATTAAAATAAAAAGATGATGCATACACAAAGAGCAATAACAAGACAATTCTTCACCACAATCTTACTTCCACAATTAACAGCCACAACACAATCAGTGGTCCTTCAACTATACCCCCAGATTCCAGTATGCTTCTTTTCATCCAGTAATATTAGCACATAGGCACAGAAGGATCACTGGAGTAGGTTGGTGGTCCCCTCTACCTTCATGATTTCTGTCTGATGTATGTATGTATGTATGCATACATACATACATACATACATACATATTCTTAAGTCTTCATGGGTACTTACATGTGTGGTATTCAGCTTTCTCAGGTATTTTCCCACGTCATTGTAGTTGTGCTTTTAAAGTTGTAGCAACGTTTCGGCAGAATCTCACCCAGATGAAACCTAGCTTCCTAACAAATGATAGCTGTCCATTTACTCGGAGCCAAGCCGCACTAAAAGCCTCCAATACAGGAACGCAATGTTGCCAGCCAATCAAGACAAAAAAAAAGCGCCACAAAACAGACAGAAGATATTAGAAACACCAATCAAGCAGAACACAGCAAACTCCAAGACCAATAAACACAGACCAAGACTCCCAACCAATCAGGATGAAGAAAAAGCCAGTAGGCTAGCCCCAAATTTAAAACTGAAACCAGTGTAAAAGTCTGACTCACAGATGAACACAATACAGAAGCCTGATGATGGCAGATGAGATTCTGCCGAAACATTGCTACAACTTTAAAAGCACAACTATAATGACATGGGAAAATACCCGAACAAAGCTGAATACCATACGTATAAATACCCACGAAAACTTTAAAACACACACACACACACACATATATGTGTGTGTGTGTGTGTGTGTGTGTGTGTGTTTGTTTTCTTAAGTTTTCATGGGTGCTTACATGTATGTTATTCAGCTTTGTTCAGGTATTTTCCCACGTCATTATAGTTGTGCTTTTAAAGATGTAGCAACATTTCGGCAGAATCTCATCTGCCATCATCAGGCTTGTGTATTGTGTTAGTCTGTGAGTCAGACTTTCACAGCCGTTTCTGTTTTAAATTTGGTGCTAGCCTACTGTTGTGCCAGAATGGTTTTTTCTTCATCCTGATTGGTTGGGAGTCTTGGTCTGTGTTTATTGGTCTTGGAGTTTGCTGTGTTCTTCTTGATTAGTGTTTCTAAAATCTTCTGTCTGTTTTGTAGCTTTTTTTATCTTGATTGGCTGGCAACATTGTGTTTCTTGTATTAGAGGCTTTTAGTGTGGCTTGACTCCGAGTAAATGGACGGCTATCATTTATTAGGAAGCTAGGTTTCATCTGGGTGCCTGGTTGGGGTGTGTTTGAGCTGGAGGTATCGGGGGGGGGGGTCTGTTTGTGCCCAGGTGTTTGCCTGGCTTGTGGTGTGGAGATTTTTTTGTTTGAGAGTGCAGGCTTCCAGATAATTGACAGTTTGGTGGAGTCATCTCTTCTATTCATGCTTTCAGGTCTTTTTTCAATCTCTATGGCTTCTCTGATAATTCTGTGGCTGGGGTTTTCTATAGTGGCTAGAGTTTTGGTGCCATGGAACTCAATGCTATGACCTGTGGCTTTCATGTGTTGGACTAGTGAGGAAGTGTGTTCCAGCTTTTTTACTGCATTTTTGTGTTCATCTAGGTGGGTACTTATTCTTCTATTGGTCTGTCCAATGTATGTGGCAGGGCATGATGCACAGGGGATTTCATATATGCCTTGGTTTTCCAGGTAAATTTTATCTTTGGGGTTTCTTAGGATGGCTGCTATTTTTCTGTCTGTTTTGAAGGCAGTCTTGATGTGATGCTTATGTAGTATCTTACTGATTTTGTCTGTAGAACCTCTTATGTAGGGCAGGACAGCTGTTCCATAGGTCTGTTCATCTTCTAGGTTTCCATTATGTCTCAGTATGTTTTTGTGGATCAAGCCAGTGATTTTGCTCTTGTGGAAGCCATTAGCTGTCAGTACTTCAGTCAGGGTGCATAGTTCAGTCTTTATGTGTGTCTTGTCTGCCAGGCGTTTGGTTCTGGCAATTAGTGTTTTGGCTACGGAGTTTATCTGTGCTGGGTGGTAGTGGGATTGGGCGTTGAGGTAGCAGTTGGTGTGTGTTTTCTTCTGGTATATGGTGTGTTGTAGTGTGCCATCTTTTTTTGTGTAGATTTGTACATCTAGGAATGGTAGTTGTTTGTTTGTTTCTGTTTCCATGGTGAATTTGATTTTGGGGTGTGTGCTGTTTAGGTGTGTTAGGAAATTGTTTAGGTTTTCTTTTCCATGGGACCAAATAACAAATATGTCATCGATGTATCTTAACCATAGTTTGGGTTTGTGGGTGGCATTCGCTAGGGCTCTGGATTTGAATTCTTCCATGAACAGGTTTGCAATAACGGGTGACAGTGGTGATCCCATAGGGACTCCTTCAATTTGCTTGTATCTTTCTCCTTTGTATATGAAATATGTGTTGGTTAAGCAGTGTTATGTTAGTTCCATGAGGTATTTGGGTGGTTGGTATTTATTTTTGATGATTTCGAGAGTTTCTTTTATTGGGACTTGAGTGAATAGTGAAACCACGTCAAAACTTACAAGCAGATCTTCTTGTTCCATGTGTAGATCTTTGATCATTTCCAAGAGGTGGTATGAGTTTTGTACATATGAAGCTGCTGCTTCAGCATGGGGCTGTAGATCAAAGATAGCCATCCGTTTACTCGGAACCAAGTCGCACTAAAAGCCTCCAAATTAGGAAACACAATGTTGCCAGCCAATCAAGACAAAAAAAGCTATAAAACAGACAGAAGATATTAGAAACACTAATCAAGCAGAACACAGCAAACTCCAAGACCAATAAACACAGACCAAGACTCCTAACCAATCAGGATGAAGAAAAAACCATTCTGGCACAACAATAGGCTAGCACCAAATTTAAAACAGAAAAGGCTGTGAAAGTCTGACTCACAGACGAACACTATACAGAAGCCTGATGATGGCAGATAAGATTCTGCCGAAACGTTGCTACAACTTTAAAAGCACAACTATAATGACATGGGAAAATACCCGAACAAAGCTGAATACCATACATACATACATACATACATACATGCATGCATACATACATACATACATATAATTTTCTACTTCTGCACAGCTTCTTTCCATCAATGATAGTAACACCCACTAGTGGCAACCTCTAGAGATGTCAGTACAAATATATCTTATAGTTGGTACCCTGTAATATTGCACTGCCTGATTCCTGTTCTTGATTCCATTGAAGAAGACATCTCCTGCCTCTTCATATAATCCCATGGCCAGGTGCAACTCTTTGGATTTCAGTGCTGTCTCTATGGATGCCTGAAAAGGGAAACCAGAGAGATTAACAGCTGAAGCAATAGCATCATAGAAAAAGGGTGATTATTTGCTCAGAACAACTTAAGACACTTCAATTTAGCCGCATACACTTTAAGACTCTTATGCCTAACAAAATACATGACATTTTTTTTTTATTTCAATAGCAAAGACCTCATAACTCTGAAGGAAAAAGTGGAAATTAGGTGGAAAAGATTATTTTACTTTGGAACATTCAGTTCTCCTGGGGGTGGGGGGTAGTTTGATGTTCATAACTCTAATGCTCTTCTATTCAACCCCCTCTTACTTTTTACTACCAAATCTCTGAAATCACCACACTACAAATCCAAATGTTGCTTATAAATCTAAATTCTGCACCCACAAATGAAAGTCATAGATTTTTGGTATTAAATATTAGATAAACCAATATTAAACATTAATATTTAATATGACCTAATATTAAGATAAACGTGCAATCTGCAATTGCACATTTTGTATAAAGCTTTGAGCACAAAACATGCATTTGTGCAATGCAGAAGATCTGTGGTTCAGCCAAAATCCTATATCTTGGCTGAACTACAACCATATGTATAATATCTACCACTATCTATATATATACATATAGTAACAAGAGAGATGTTTACTGTTATGGTTAGTGATACCTTGTATTGTTAGACACTGATTCAGAATCCTCATGTGCCAGACACAAGTGAAAACTCACATTTTATAAAGATTGACAAATGATCTATGTTATCCAATGATTGAAATCACACTTTTGCAATAATCTTCTACAAAGTGGTTGGGTAAAAAGTGACAGCTACTAAAAAGACCAAGTCCCAAGCCAGGAAGATACCAACTTAGAAAATCACTTTTTTATGTACCTGTAAATACATTTCCACAAGTTCATTCTCTTGCATTTGATAATAGAGCTTACCAGCCTGTAACCAGGCCTGGGCTGTTTTAACAGTTTCCTCCAGGTCAATAAATATTCTGAGGCTCTGCTTGGTACAGTCCAATGCCTGTTTCAAAGATCTGTTGGATTTACATGTATTTCATTATTACAAAGAAATTAGTGAAACTCATGCATAGTCAAAACAAACCATCCCATTTTGATCCACTCTATAAAACAATCCTTACAAGAAACTGTATTGTGACCTTCACACAGGCTGAATTATTTCCTTTGGTTTTAAATCCAATGAAGACATTTTTTTAAACCGGATGGACCTTTAAATAGGCCCTTAGATAAGTTCCTATTCTAAAGATATCACTCTTAATGGAAGGACAACTGGATTTCCAATAATGTTTCATGATAAAATGATATCACACTATGTGGTATATGTTTCCCCTATCTATCATGTTGGAGACACTCTATAGAAGAAGTTTCAGAATGATGCACACCCTGTTCACTACAAATAACATGTGAAATGTGTGTGTGTGTGTAGGTGTGCAGGTCTTGGCGTGTTCGGGTCTTTTCCTGTGTAAGATTGAGAGTTACTTGGCGATGTTTCAACGAGGTCCCACTCGCCATTTTCAGGCTGATGCTTTCAAGTTTCATGCTTGTGTGAGCAAAGCGTGATCGGAGCTGTCGTCTCTCTATAAATACTGGTGGAGAGGTTGGCTGTGTTGTTATTTCTTGATTAGTTGATGGAGTTGATGTTTGCAGATTGGTTGGCTTTTTCATAAGAACATGTGTTGCTGAGGTATTGGCTGTGTGTCTATCAGCCTCCTGTATTGTAACGACCTGGGTAATGGGCTGTGTGATGATTTTCTGAGTTCTATTGTTGTGACGTCCTGAATCTTGTGCTGTAATCTCCTGGGTAATCTCTTGGCGACATGGGAAAGAAAAACTGGACAACTTCCTCACACACCTCAACAGCCTACACCCCAAAATACAATTCACCATGGAAACAGAAGCCAACAACCAACTTCCCCTCCTGGACATCCTAATTTACAAAAAAACCCAATGGCTCCCTAGGACACACCATCCACCGGAAGAAAACACACACCAACCGCTATTTAAATGCAAAATCCCATCACCACCCTGCACAGATCAACTCCGTAGCCAAGATCCTCATCTCCAGAACCAAACACCTGGCCGACAAAGACCACCTGAGAACAGAATTGCACACCCTCACTAACGTATTAATTTCCAACTGATTCCGAAGAAACACAATTACCAATCTAATCCTAAGGGGGACACCCCCAAAAAACTGAGACACAGAACAGGACAACGGTATTGCCCTCCTTCCCTATATCAAAGGCACCAGTCAAAATCAGCAAAATTCTCCACAAACACAATATCAGGACAGCCTTCGGCATTGAACAAAAAATAGCCAACATCCTAAGAAACCCCAAGGACAGGTTCCAGCTAGAAAACCAAGGAGTTTATGAAATACCATGCAACAATTACCCAGCCACATACATTGGACAAACCAACAGGAGAATAAATGCATGCATCTCAGAACACAAGAACACAGTCAGAAAAGAAGAAAATACTTCCTCCCTTTTCCAGCACCTTAAAGTCACAGGACATGAAATTGATTTTGAGGGAACTAAATTAATCTACAATACTGAACACTTAAACAAGAGAATAATCAGGGAAGCCATTGAAATAGAGAAACACCCCCATAGCATGAATAAACGGGATGATACCTCCCACCTACCAGACATCTGGAAACTAGCCCTTATCAACAAATAAGTCCCAGCCATGAAAACCAACACCGGATCCAAAACAACACATGACTCCAACACCAATCTCCCTGACCAGACTCAAACCCAAACCCATCCCATAGACGAAAGGCAACCCCCATCCAGAAACCAGACCACGGCTGCATCACTAGCTGCCACACACCCTGACCCCCAAATCAAGCAAACTGACACATGCCATGAACACATAGCTAGGCCTCAAACTCGGAGACAAACCAGAACCCGAATGTCACATCACAGCCACCCACTCAGGATATCACATCACAAAACTCAGGAGGTTACACCGCAAAACTTCAGGATGTTAGAACACAGCCAACGACCCAGGAGATTATAGCACAAGATTCAGGATATCACAACAATAAAACTCAGACGGTCATTACACAGCCCATTACCCAGGTCGTTACAACACAGGAGGCTGATAGACACACAGCCAATACTTCAGCAACACATGTTCTTACGAAAAAGCCAACCAAACTGCAAACATCAACTCCATCAACCAATCAAGAAATAACAACACAGTCAACCACCCCACCAGCATTTATAGAGAGACACAACACAACCCTTGGATGTGTGGCCTCATCTTGCAATATGTGGGGTATATGTTCACTGGTACATTATGTTATCATTTTTTCTGTCACTTGAAATAGAAGAGTTTTACCTCAGCTTCCAAACAGCCCAAATAAATGTGGACTACCAGGCACTAAACTTTGGCTTTTGAGAGAGAGAAGAACAAAAGAAAGAGAGGAAGGAAGGAAGGAAGGAAGGAAGGAAAGAAGGAAGGAAGGAAGGAAGGAAGGAAGGAAGGAAGGAAGGAAGGAAGGAGGGAGGGAGGGAGGGAGGGAGGGAGGGAGGGAAGATTTCAACAGAACGTTAGCTGGCCCTGAGGTTCCTTAAAATTCACTACAGATGAAAAGATACATAACTGCCTAAATCACTAACAAAAGAATAATAACTATATCACAAGCTGCTAATCATTTATCCTAATGTGATATACTGTAAATATCATATGATATGATATCATTTAACATGATGTCATATGATATTATACTCATATGATTTCTGGAGTGTGATAATTCCTTAAACAGGAATTGGTATAGCACAATCTGTTACTGGAAGTCATGCCTACTTGCATATTCCTAATACTGCTTCTTATTTCTATTATTAATACTACTACCAACTATTAATGTTAATTGTTGAATGGTACCCCCTAAAAAAAGTAGTCATATAATCTACAGTATGAAAAACACACATGGAGGAAGAGGACAGGATCTGTAGCAAGAGGACATAATAAGAAATAATTGAAAGGAGATCATAGCTAAATCTAAGTTATTATTGCTGTATATATAAAATCCATTCCATTGTGAATCCCACCACGCCACCAAAAATTAACATTAAATAATAAAGCTGCAAGGAATGCATTCAAGAGATTTAAAAATAATAAGGAAAAAAGGTTATTTGTTTTTTTTTATTATACAGTTTAAAAAAATCATGTTATGAAGAGATGGTTTCCAAGATCTTGGATACCAACAGAAAGCCCAAACAGATATAACAGCAAACTGCTTTCTTCAGGCACAACATCTTGAAGAAAGGTGAGAACCAGGTAAAAAACAATCCATTCTCTTTAGTTTCTTTGCCATATTCATTTTCCTCTTCCTCAAAAAATTACAGGCAGTATCATTTTTATTGTCTTCCATTCATACCAACTCTTGAGTAGCATATATTCAGGATAGCACAAGCATTCATTTAAGGGGCAAGATCATATGCCACTGACTTCTTTATGCTTCTTTATGTGACCCATTAAGTCTTTAAAGCTAGAGAATTCTCACTGTTGCCTTGGTTGAGGGATATAGGCAGTGCTATTCTTTCTGCTTTTAGATGTCTTTCCTCAAAGGTTAGGCTCTAGATTACAGGGCAACTGCCAGACAGCATTGCAGCTGAATCAGTGACAATCTTCAGAGATCAAGAAGATAGACCAGCATTTCTTAACCTTGGTACCTTTAAGATGTGCAGACTTCAACTCTCAGAATTCCCCAACCAGCTGGAGAATTCTGGGAGTTGAAGTCCACACCTCTTAAAGGTATTAAGGCTAAGAAACACTGTGGTATATGTTAGATCTGAGAGGATGGTTCAAGAACGGAGGCAAGACTCAGATAGCAACAACAGCTCTTTATTAGTGACTTCAGATCTGAGCAACTAATCCCAGCCACAGCAGCCCCTTATATAGGGCTGGCTGCGGCTAGGCAGCCAATGAAGGTGATTTGAGTTTGCCGCTCTTGGCAGGGCCAATCACGGCAGCCCGTTTACTGGCCAATCGCATCGGTCTATGGCGACCAATCACGATTGGCTATCAGCGTGCCAATCAGAGTTGCAGGCTTTCGAGCCTGCTAGTCCAGAACAGTATACACATCTTTAGATCATGGAATACCTCCATCTCTGAAACCAATATGCTGTTTGTGTCCAAAGTCAATAATGGCTATGTTACCAATGTATAATCTTTTATTCTAGTGAATTCATTAAGATTGCTCTCCTCTCATTCTATCACCAGGCTATCCAGAATGGGATAGGCTTAAAACCTTGCCTCTGACTTCCTGCAAATGTAAGATTTCTAATGTCCCTCTCCCCTTTTGTAGTTATGTCAACATTGCCTAGTTGTGAAGAAGCCACTGCTTTGAGAAAAGAGGAAATCTGTCTTTGAAGCAGGTAATTAGAAACAATTTCGATATCTATAAGTAAGTAATGGGGGAAAGGAATAACTTTGAGAAAGAAGAATAACTTCATTGCTATGAAGAAATCCGATTCTGAGCAGTCTGTAATCGGAGTAAGCATTTCAGATTGAAGTCTTCCTCGTTCTCAGGAAGATAAACTGAAGGACATGCAAGATTCTGTTATTATAAATTTGTAATAACAGTGGTATTAGTATATATAACTCAAGTTTCCAAGACTGGTCTACCTTGGAGGGCTCATAAAGTACATTGATGCAGTTGCCAGACAGAAACAATGGGAGGGAGATTAGAGTTTAATATTGTTTTTATTGATTTTTTCCTTTATATTTATTTTTTAATTCTTTTCTTTTTTTCCCCTTTGCTCTTTTCTTTCTTTTATATAATTATGTCCATTTATTTTTAGAACAATGACAAATAACTATGTTATCAATATTGATCTCAGAATGTTATAGAGATTTTAATGTTTTTTCTTAAGATGATATATGGAATCTAAGTCAATACATTTAATTAACAAATTAATGAAATATTGAGTTAACACATTTTAAATTTTATGATAATTATCCATCTTTCTTTGCTGATATTTATTTATTCCCTGTATCTTTTTCTGCTTTTTTTAAACTTATGTAGCTACTTATTCTGTTCTTTAAACGTTTCAAACAAATTATTTATTAAAAGAAAAAAAAACAAAGGAAAAGGTGAGAACTTGAAGCAAGTGAACCACTACGACAAACCTAGCTTGAAATTTCTGGTGACTGATACAGATTTTCTCCTGTGCATGCATACACTTCTTTTGGATCCTGGTTATTGTATGTGGGTCCAGTGTTTCCTTTCAGCCACTTGTAACAAGGCATATTAATACTTCACAAGTGTTAACTATTGCTTGTTAACAAAGGAGTTCTGAACTCAATTTGCAGGACATATATTGACTTTCTGCATCTGAATGCAGAATTGTTTCTATATCTTTTTTAAAAGCAAAGAAATCTGTGTACAAACTTTCTTTTTGCCTCTTTCTTTATATTCAAAATCTCTCTCTCTCTCATCTGTATTTATCTGACAAGTGAACATATTATACGACTGATGAAATGACTTCTGGTCTACCAAGAGAAAACGTGCTCTGTTTTAAAGTGTCACAGATATTAATCTGTGCCACTTTTCTCAGAGACCAAGACAACTAAACATGGGGGAATATTTCATTCTTCCTAAATGATATATATCAACTAATAATATCAAATTAGTATTATTTATTGTTTTAAGATTTTTCCCCTTCTTTCCAAAATGTTCAAAGCATCTGACATTAAAAATCAATGGCAGAAAATATATGAAAAACTAATGAATCTTTTTGAAAAGATGGTATTTTTTGCTTTATGATCTAATGTTCAATGGATTATAAACAGTGGAATGCATGCCCCTTGGGCTTAAAGACATCAATATTCTAGAATTTCATGCTGTAAATATTATTGTTTTTCATTTAAAAATGATAAAAAGGAATTGATTTTGAATGACAAAGTCCAATGTAACCAAAACACTGTTCAAAATATTGTAACACTTTGAGTCCTAATCATTATTTCAACATTTAACAGAGAACCTGAGTGCTGACTCACCTGGGTGTATGTAAACTTTGGTAGAGTTGGCTAAGGTCCTGTAGAAGGTATCCTTCTTTTTCTTTGTCCTGGAGTTGCCGAGCTAGGAGAACGTGGTGCTCTTGGTATATGATGCAGGCTCTGGTATCAGGATGCACTTTATTATAGAAATGGCAGAGGGACTCAGTGACATGAAGTTGACCTACATAGCATCAGGTAAGATAGAGATTTTTTTAAAAAAATAAATAAAGCCAAATAACAACCTTGACTTGAACAACTGCCCCTAAGAATAAGTACTCACTTATCACATTTTGAGTCTTCAAGGCAATGGCCAAGGCCAGCTCGTAAAAGATGATGCTTTCTTCCGCCTTACATCTCTCTAGCTTGGACTGAGCCAACCATAACAAAATGTGTACCAGTTCCATGTGTGTATCATCACCATCCTGGAGTTCAAAGTACAACTGAATGGCCTGGAGAAAATAGTATTCTCCTAAATAATAAGCCCCCAAAGATGTGATTAGGCAACCAAAGTTGGCTAAGGCAATGGCTTGGTTCCGCTGATTCCCATTTTCCTGGGCTTTCTTCAAGGCCCAGAAGTAATTCTCTGCTGCCTTTTGCACCTGCCCTTCTCTTTTAAGGGCAATGGCTAAAAGATTGTGAACCACCCCATCTTGTGTGACACTATCTGTCTGCCTCAGAGAACAGAGGAGGTATTGCATGATCTCTGAGGTCTTGTCTGGTTGATTGTTCAAAGTAAAGAGCCACCCCAAAGAAAGGGATGCCTCAAATGCTTCTTCTTCACCCATCATTTTACCCAGGGCCACAGCTTGGTTGGAGTAATGCACGGCCTTTTCTAGCATGCCGTATTTGAGGTACAATTTGGATAAAAGTGCACACAATGCTTTTTCAGTTGATACAGTCCCAGCTTCGTGGGAGAAGGACAACCCGCAGTGCAGATAGAAGCAAGCCAATGCTGAGATGCCATTGTGGCTTTTCTCTTGGACCTTCAAGAGTTTAGAGGTGTTTGCAAGGATGAATCCAGCTCTCCAAATTGGTGTGAAGCCACCTTTTATATTGCTAGGGGAGAACATCCTGGCAGCCGCTAAAGCTACATGGGGCACATACTTTTTTTCATACAGATAGGCAAGAAAAGGCATTGTATCTAAAGGATGTTTACCAGTAACCTGGCTGGTGAGTTGTGCATTCAGAAACTGCAAGCGTTCTACAAAAGGAAGAACCTCATCATATTTGCCGAGCTGCAAGAAGAGCCTGACAATGAGGAAGCAGGATCTAATCTCCATTGTTGTGTTGCCTGCAGCAATGGCTTCTCTCAAGATGTACATCACAACTTCTAGTTCAGTCTCAGAACTGAAGCAGTGTCCAGACAAGCAGGCCAGAAGTGTCGCCCCTTTTCCAATCACGGATAAGAACTTCTGCTTCATCTTTTGCTTTAAATAAATGGCAGCAAGGTTTGTATGCAATGATGTGAATAGAGGTAGATCTTCGAACCCCTTGTCCATAGCATTCATGGCTTCCTCAAAGTAGACTCGCGCTTGGGAGAACTTGGCCTTCCTGACACAGAGGCGGCCCAAAAGGTAGCATATCCGAATGTGAGCCCAAGCAAGGTGGCCCCTCTTAGCCCAGTTCCTAGATGTTTCCAGATATATGACTAACTCCTCTTCACTGGTGAAACCATAGAAGGTAGAACTGAGGAAGGAAAAAGAGAGGTCATACAGACTTTGGAAATGAGGCACATAGCTATCTTGATTGAGGAAAGTCAGTATAGGGTCAAACACATCACAGTCTTCCATATGCCCAGCATTTAGATCAATAAAGAACTTGGGGTCATCAAGGTCATCTGGCTCTTGCAAAAGTAAGTGTTCCAGGGTGGAAGGTGAGGATTCAACCACTGGAGTTGACTTCTCAGAATCAGTTTGAGTAAGTAAACTGTTATAAGATTGCTTCCCCCAATTTTCAAACATCCAACCATTTTTATGTCCATGTACAGCAGCATCTGAAAATGATCAATAAAGCACAAAGATATGATTCCATTTATGGTGATACTTTTGCGGGGGGGGGGGGGGTCCCCTTTTCCCTTTCAATCATACTCACCTGATGGTCTTTGGGGGTACATTGCAATAGGTTCAAAACCATCTGTGTAATCAAGAAAAAGGAGAGGAATATACAAAGGAACCCACTACAAGGTCAAAGGTCAAACTTCAAACTTGGCATTATAGCAAGCTTAAGTTGCTTCATTCAATGTGTACACAAGAAAAAATGAAGTCCAATCTTATCCTGGGAGATTAATAGAGTTGGAAGGGACCTTGTAGGCCATCTAATCTAGATAATGCTACATGGACAGAATACAATGAGTGTAAGGATTATAAAGCTGTATGACTGTACTACAATTAAGGGAGAGTATACTGTAAATTCTGTACTAGATTATTTCTGAACAGAAAATTCTATTCAATCCTATTGTTCAACTACCCTTTGATATAACAGAGCACAGGCTAAACAATCTGGAACTGAACACACTCAAAACTGTAGAAATGGTAGTAGACTTTAGAAGAAACCCTCCTATACTACCACCTCTTACAATACTAGACAACACAGTATCAACAGTAGAGACCTTCAAATTTCTAGGTTCTACTATATCACATGACCTAAAATGGACACCTAACATCAAAAACATCATCCAAAAAGCACAACAAAGAATGTTCTTTCTGCGCCAACTCAAAAAGCTCAAACTGCCCAAGGAGCTACTGATACAGTTCTACAGAGGAATTATTGAGTCTATCATCTGCACTTCTATAACTGTCTGGTTTGGTTCTGCAACACAACAGGACAGACACAGACTTCAGAGGATAATTAGGACTGCAGAAAAAACAATTACTACCCACCTGCCTTCAATTGAGGACTTGTATACTGCATGAGTCAAAAAGAGGGCTGTGAAAATATTTACAGACCCCTCACATCCCGGACATAAACTGTTTCAACTCCTTCCCTCAAAACAACACTATAGAGCACTGCACACCGGAACTAGACACAAGAACAGTTTTTTCCCAAAAGCCATCACTCTGCTAAACAAATAATTATCTCAATACTGTTCAACTATTTACAAAGTGTACACTATTATTACTGTTAATCTTCTCACCACTCCTTATCACCCATCCCCTCCCACTTGACTGTTTCCTAGTATGATTTGTTTGTTGATTGTACCCTATGACTATCATTAAGTGTTGTACGTTATGATTCTTGATTCTTGACGAATGTACTTTTTCTTTATGTATACTGAGAGTATTTACATCAAGATAAATTCCTTGTGTGTCCAATCACACTTGGCCAATAAAGTATTCTATTCTATTCTGTTCTGTTCTGTTCTGTTCTGTTCTATTCTATTCTATTTCCAGATCACCGCAATAAAGTGAATATTGCAATGAAATTGACCACACAATTGTTTTGCTTTCCTATTGCATATAAAAGTTATGTTTTACACTATATGTAGTCTATCAAGTGTGCAATAGCCTTATGTCTAAAAATGTACATACCTTAATTTTTTAAAAAAATATTGCTAAAGTGATTAATAATAATGAAAAAGTTTGAAATATTATGAGAATTACTAAAATAGGATGCAAAGGCAATGAAGTGAGCAAATGCTGTTGGAAAAATGGTGCCAGCAGATTTGTTCTGCAAACCTTCAATTTGAATTAAAAATGGCAGCATCTTCAAAGCACAAAAAAGTAAAGAAGAAATGCCTATATAACTGTTAATACAGATTAACAGGTGATAAATAAAATTTAAGGGTGTGGGGCTAAAACCTGATGAGCAAGTAGGTATTATCAGGTACATGGGCATATATGGTACTCTAATCATACCTGGATAAGGAGAGCTTAGTGTAATATGTATACAAGGCTGATGGCTTTGGTTATATCTTCCTTATTAAATCTTATCCACCTGCTATTATGTCATCGAAGAACTAAAGCACACAGAGATCAATATGACATTGAACTACCTCCTGAGTATTTTTCAAAGATAATATTCTATCACAAGGTGAATAGTATAAAGATAGGGAGCAGCAGAAAATTTGGGAAGAAATAGACATTAGAAAGAACAATATCCAGTGATATGGAGACATACCAAGTCTATATACAGAGGTGATGTCTGTCTGTGCCCATTCATTAAGAAGGTCACTGTAATATACCTCATTGCCATTACATGGAGCCTGGAGGAAGGCAGAAATTTCTTCTTCACTAAAAAACACTGGGCTCTTTCTCCTGTGTTGGGAATGAAAAGGCAGAGAATGGTCAGTCAGTACTGAATATCTTTTATGTTGCCAGAGCCCACTTAACTCTTACGATGGTGGTGAATATCTGTAGCTCAAGTGGAGGATTGAGGATGGAGGTTCATTCTCTGAGCTTGTAGGTTGGTTTCCAAACATTTTGACACTGACATCCCCTAAACTTCACTGAAGGTATTACCTACCCTAGTAACAAAACATTTGGAAACTAACCCACAAGCTTGGAGAAAGAACGTCCACCCTCATCACTTACCTTGTCCCTGCTGTAAAATGCAGAAAGTAAAATCCAGATCCTTCAATCTAGCATTAGACTAGAAAAATCCAAGCACAAATCCCCACTCATCCCTAAAATTAAAGAATGATCTTGCACCATTTAATGATGTTCAATGTAACCAGCCCCATAGGGTCATTGCTGAAAAAAAGTTGTGGAATAATAAATGAGTACACTGAAGATGGGAAATGTATAGAAAGGAAGGTACTTGATTGACATCCCAAATTATGTTTTTTAAAAGGTCCTTGCAAACATCTCAGCTATGCCTTCTCCTGAAGTTCGAAGTCCTTTCTCCCCTCTCTTCCTAGGGCAAGGAGGCAAGGAGGTGTCAATAGTTAAGTATAGGATGGATTCAAACACACACACACTAAAGTCATTCAAAACCTTCTCTGGCAATGATGCTTGCAATGAAGTCGTAACAAAAGCAACCAAAGGAAAAAATATATTGAAAATATACAGGGAGAGAGTCAAGTATTGTCCCTATTATTCCACTTTGCTGTTCAGAATAACATTTATACAGCTAAAAGTATTGATTAGAAAACGTATTGTTAATATAGATGATTGGTTTGAATATATATTTTTACTCAAAGGCGTTTGCCGTTGTGTCACTTTCTCAGAGATTTTCTCCCATTTTTCAAAACTACAGAATGCATAAAAACATATTTTAGGGTTTTTATGTTTTTGTTTAGTTTTCCAGATTTCTGCAATAACAACAGGAATTGGATTGATTTCTTATATTATATTAATGTATAGAACAGGAAAATACAAACAATAAATTAGTAAGAGGTTCTTTTATGGAGTACTGGTTGGTGAATTCTCCGTATCTTCAACAAAAAAGACTGGATAATTGAGGATTGATACTACTGATATAATAAGTGCCAATTTTCATACAATTCCACCAACACAAAAGTGTTTGGAAGTGGCAACCATGGCACAATTTATATACTTGCATCAGGTGATGTGACCCAAGTCCTGAGTAGTAGCCTTTGTACAATCATGTCATGTCATACATCATTCTCCCTTTGTGAATTATTGCAGCACAAAAACAGTCTAAAGAAGGTTCAACTAAATAGACCAGTTTTATCAGGCCTGTGAACTATTTTCCTTTTGGATGATACACTAAAATGTATAAAGGCACAAAAAGCTTCAGTGGCATTCATCAAATCCAAAAATATCCTCCCAGATTTAATTTTTTAAAGAAAACTTGTCATGTTTAGTTTTATATATAAATGTTAAAATTCCTTTGCTATTAAAGGAATTATATTTATATATGATTCATCATATACTGTTAGCATTCTTCAAATATTGTTAACAGTGATTATACCTATTAACACTGATTATACCTAGATATTTTATGTAAAATGTAAGTTTCTGCTTTTAATCATTTAGCATGCAATTCAATGGCCACTTATCTGGAAGTAAATCTCATTGGAAGATATATAAGTCGGGGCTTACCAAAACAAGATTCGAGGCATTAGCAAAGTTACAATCTTGTGGAAGACAATACCGACACCTTGTGGCCACCACAATTTCATGCAACTACACGGTTTTTTGACAGACAAGAAGACATTAACTCAAACATAAATTTGTACTTGGTTACTCATAATATCTACTCAATAAATATTGTTAAAGAACCCTGGCCTTAGCATGAAGCATGACTCTGGTCTATTGAAAATCTATCCTAATAGGCCTACTTTTCCTATGTTTTAATTTAATCTGTTTTAAAAGTAACTTCGAAGTTATAGGGAGAGAAGAGAGGAAAGAATATGCTGCAGATAAACAATCTCTCACAATATCCTGATGCACTACATAAGGACAAAAGTGGAAGCAGAGTCAATTTATGCAATGAAAGGGTGTAATTTGAGAAATCTATACTGTAAGAGGGCTCCTATAATCAAATTCAACTCATAGATATCTCTTAAGACTCTCGGTGTGTCCTCCCTAGGAGTAACGTTCCAAGAATTCTACAATGATCACATGAAAGGCATATCCTCTCCCTTCAGGTAAAATTGAGTAGAATGGCAAAACTAAATATAACTGCATTTATCTGAATTATTTTAACATTGATGCAGAATAACTGAGGAAGAACATCCTTTAGCTCAGCGTCGTTATTGATTTGCATTCTGAATTGTTTATAAGTCCTTACCTTACTTTAGATAAAAGCTTCCCATCTCTCTCCCCATCTGCTTGTTTTCCATTGACTGGACAAAGAACTATATTTGAAATTTTAACAGAACAGGGGGAAGGGTAACTATTTAATGGGCACATGATCAACTGAAACTGATCTTGGAAAATCAAGTATATCAAGTAAGTAAAATCAAGACTTAGCACTTGAATTAGAGAGAACCAGGTATATTTTGTTTATTTTATTTTTGCCTTCCTGTCATTGTTGAGTCCTGGTGACTGACTGGACTAATCCCTGCTGTTTTCTTGATTGGATTTTTTTGGGAAGTGGTTTGCCATTGCTGCCTTCCTAAAGCTGTGAGAGAATGACTGGCCCAAGGTTGACTAGCTGGCTTCATGTCTAAAGGAGAACTAAATCTCATGGTCTTCCAGTTTCTAGCCCTGGCTCAACCAAGAAATACTGTGGTTATAATCTAAACTAGAAAATAAACAAAGAAATAAAAAAGAGTCTTAAGAAAGGCAATGGAAAACTAATTTTGTATTTATTGTTAAATAAAATGCTTTGAGGTATTGAACTATTAATGAAGCCATTAATAGTTGAACTCTATTAAAATACATTTTAATAAGAGCTCAGAAATACATTTCCTGCTCTACTCTTTCGCTTGCCAGTTTTATTCTGGTGTCCCATTGTGGTCAAATTAAATTCTATTTGGAATTTTACATAACAATCAAAAATATATTTTCAAAAGAGGCTTGTCATATATATGCTCAGGCAACATCCTGGCAGTAAACTTCACTGAATAAAACCCTACTCATTTTTCTAAAAATATTGTATTATAGTTGTCTCAATTGAAAGGTTGAGATAGATTTCCTGGCTTCTTTTGCTTTTTTCTGCCTACCTATCAGGAACCACAATCCCACAACAGATTTCCTTCAGTCTCCATGCAATGATTTCCCTATTCTACATCTTGTATCCAAGTATCCAAATTACTCCTTGACCTATCTTGGCCTGGCTAGTAGTTATTTACCTCTGTCAGAGCTCTGTAGAAAGCTCTGCCAAAAGAAATCTATACCAATGTTCTGAAAAAAAAAACATATCCCAAAGCTATTAAAAAGTTATAAACCTTTGGGCAAAAGACAAACTACCCCAAATTAATGGAATGAACTTCACTGTAGGAAGCATTTCAATTCTGACCAGCTCAAAGTTGACTCAGCCTTCTATACTTTCAAGTCAGTAAAATGAGGACCCAGCTTGCTGGGGCAATATGCTGACTCTGTAAATCTTTTAGAGTGGGCTGTAAAACATTGTGAAGTGGTATATAAGTCTAAGTGCTAAGTGCTATTAATTATTAGCTAAGAGTTGGTTTCTACTCTTAAAACTGCACTAATGTACAACAACATTGCTGTGTCAGTTTTTCCTGGTGAATCTTCAGGTTTATCAGTTTGTGTAAATCACGCACAGTGCCTATTGAAATTAAATGACACAATTTTTTGCATACTTGGTGGGTTTTTTAAATCTATTACTTGAGGCTTCCTAAAATAAAATTCTGTAGGTTTTACGCATTGTTAATTCTGGCTTAGCACATGTTCACTTAACTATATTTGTCTGTAAAACAGTGTTTGGATAATATCTCAAGATATGAATCTAGCCACCTGGGACTTCTTCAACAAAGAATGATAAAATAAACATAGTGTGTAATTCCTGTACATGAAAACTGAAACCTCTTCTAATATTGTGCTAATGTTTGCCAGAATATTTATGCTTATTATATCATAGGTAACATTTATCACAACCTCAGACAAGCTTATTTATAGCTGATGTAAGAACAACTGAGAGAAAAAGGGCATATGTTTTAATAAAATATTAATAAAATATTCTAAAGGAGTGTTTAATAAGTTTGGTGAAAATGGCTATAATGCTTAAGATAGCACATTTAAACCCAACTCCAAAGTGTTTTACAGCCATCGCTAAGCGGTTTACTGAGTCAGCCTATTGCCCCCAACAGTCTGGGTCCTCATTTTACTGACCTTGGAAGGATGAGTCAATTTCGAGCTGGTGAGAAGATTCAGTAAAAATGAAAAAGCCCACAAAACTCAAATAATAAATCCTGATTGCTTGATGCCATACAGCTTTGGGAGCAGAGAAAACTTACAATCCACGGAGAAAGAGAACTCAGTGTTCCTCTAACTATTTCAGCCACAAATAGTCAAGAAAAAATTGAGGGCAGGTGAAACCTTCTGGTTTTTGTTTTGTTTTTTTAATTCTTATCATGTGATTTGAACAAGTAAATATTTATTTCTTTGCATGCTTTTTCTCATCTTAAATATAAAAAGTTTGGATCATGCCATGTTTCAACTAGATGATTTGAAAGTCATGAGTTCTGCCTTGGTTTCTACCTATGTTTTCTATTTTTATATAAACACATACATGTCATACTTACATTGATTCATAACTCTCAAGCTGCACTGATTTGGTTTGGACAAAGCCAATCATCCCACTCGTAGTGGATTTCCCTATAAACCAACGGAGACCCGTAATGAAGAAGCCGATCACCTCTAGGATATCCCCTTTGCAGTAACTCAATTCATCCCAGCTTTTCCCCCTGTGATCTTCAGTGGCTATGCACCTCCCTTGGCCTGAAAAATAGAATGAAACCATTCTCACGTCAGAAGGCTGAACAATTGTGTCATTCTCTCACAGCAAATGCATGGCTAGAGGCAGTGGAGAGTGTGTGTGCAAACAAAGCCTGGTAACAAAAACTCTGTGTTCCTTGACATTTTTGTTTTCTTCAGTAGCTTAGACCTCACAGGCAAGCCTAGTCTGTTTTTTTTTTAATAAAAAGAAAATACACCAGGCAGTTATTTATTCTACAGACCTATAAGAAGTTCTGAAGACATTTCAATTTGTTACTGAGGGTTTTCTGGGTAGGAGGGGAACAGCCATTGAGAAAAATATTTGCCTTACATGATGCATTTTGTTGCTACTTCTTCACCTAGTCCACTGCCCTTATTTCTTCCCTGCTTCATACAAATACAAATTCCATTATATCATATCTTCCTGGGATGGTATCTTGATCTCATATAGGTTATCAGCGACTTTTTCCAGATGCCACTCAAGGCAGATTAATTAACACCGAGAGCAACTCAGTCTAAATTGGTCACACAGATGTTTTTTTTAACCAAACAGGAAGGCAAATGAAAACTGTTCAAAGTGACATCCTGAACAAATAAACCCTTTTTCACTGATTGCTGGAAAATCCTGTGTGTGTGTGTGTGTGTGTGTGTGTGTGTGTGTGTGTGTAAATATAGCACTTTAAATGTTGGCCAAGCATTCATGAAATTCCCCACTGTCTCAGCAGGCTATAAAATAATAGAAGCACCAGGGATGATCATTCATAAATCCAAATCAACACAAACATCCTCAAAAAATCCATTATTTGAAACTGGAGGGGATTGTTCTCAATATTTTTAGACTTTAAACTAGCATGTTCTAAAGAAAACTAAATAGAAAGGAAAATGTTTTCCAATGATTCCATTTGTTAGTTAAAATAAGACAAATGTCATGCTTGGCAGTATTTTTGTCTGTCTTTTTATGAATTAAACTACTCCGAAATAGGTAACCACAATAATCGTGCTGGGCTGGATAAATTAGGAATAGAAATTGTACATACATACTGATAGGCTTCCTCTGAGTCTGCTACAGAACATTTTTTTATGTGTTTCACCATTTTCTCTCTCTCTCTCTCTCTCTCTCCCTCCCTCCCCCCCCCTCTCTCTTTCCTGCAGGGTTATACTCACTTTATCATTCTGTTCAAAAGCAACACTCCCATAATGAGAACAAATGAAGCCGGAAAATTTGGGGTTCAAATACACACACATGGTGCAAAGACTTTTAATGATTAATACTCAATTGAAAACCGAGTTCTTCTTGGGAGACTAATAGACAGACAATTAGAAAATAATTGTGAAAGATTGCTTTTATGTATGGTGACTGCTTGAAGATTATGAAATATCCTTAAGGGAAAAATGGCTGGTGAAGATGACAGAATTGGCAGAGATAGCAAAATTGACTTGTTTGATTAGAGAAAGGACAATGACTATATTGTAACCCTTTATAGACTTTTTGCTGAGAAGAGAAGAAAAAAAACTTGTGATTTATAGCTTTAATGGTTAAAAAGACTATGAAAAAAAGAAAACTGTGTTGTAACCTTAGAGACAGAGCATAAAATAACAATGTACTTTTAATTGCTGTTAAGAAGATTGGAAGCAGCTTCTCTGTAACTCGCGTTACATCTCCTTTCCTTCCCTTTCTTTATTTTTTCTTTGCACTTTTTATTTTTCTTTCCTTTTCTTTTTCTTTCAAAATTCGTATTGTTTTTATTCTTTTAAATAAATATACACACAGACACGTTTGTGTATTTGTGTGTGTGTAAATACATACAGTACATGCATACACATACACACACACATACAGAGAGAAAGAGACAGAGAGAGAGAGAGAACAAATGACTGCTTGAAAATCCTATGAATGTGACACATAGACAGCAAGTGAAATAAAAAGGGAGATGATCAATTGATAATTTTTAAGCAAACTGATCTTGAGTTTTATTACACTCACCAATCTGCAAAGAGTCGGGCCCATTGATTTCTTTGGATATGCCACAACTGATTGGATAGTTCTTCAAAAACCACCTGCAAATGCAAACAGCTATGAACAAACTGCTCCTCTGAGAGAACTATATGGCTGATGCCCAAGGTAGGAGACAATTAATTATTAGATTTACTCTATGGCATCAGATTCCTTGCATGACTCCTCTTTTATAATTCATTCATGGAATCCATGATCCAAAAGTATGGTAATAGTAATAGCAATAGTCTAGATGCCTGTCTTAAAAGAGTGTTACACAATTATAATACAAATCAAGATTCTGGAGTGAAAATATAGATGCAAATATTAGGATCACTCATGAGTGTTTTCAAAATATCTGACTTATGCTATTGGAGATGGAGACAGTTGATCTTGAACTTCAGCTTGGTACTAGAGCAAATGCTTTTCAGACAAAATTACATCCCCAACTACTACACTTTAAGAAAGGCAGGTAGGAGATGACAGGAATAATTGTCAGAGAGATATTGTCAGTCAGGGAAGCCAAAGTAAATCTAGAGAAGATTGCCTAGGAATAAGATAATGTTCTGTAGAAAGAATATTGATTTGACCTTTCAATGCAGCTTCTACCTACATTTTGACAGACATGACTTTTAAAAAGCACAAAAAGGAAATATTTTTCTGTTTTAAAAAGCTTGACAGCACTTTTAAATCTGACATGCTAAATCTTCATTTGGCCAATATGACAAACGGGGGAAACTGAAGAGCCCTCCCAAAATCCCATTAAACAAACATACATCTTTGCATAAAAAACAAATTTGCAAACCATCTAATGAGAACATTATTGCAAAAGCTATAAGTGAATTAGAAGTTGAAAATAAGATTTTAAGTACACATGGGAAACAGCAACTGATTTAAATCTCAAAGTTACAAAATGATATTTTGCTTGAAGTAGTAGAAGTGAATTCAGCATGTTCACAGCACAAGAACATGCCCATTTTGTTGGATCTGTTGGGATGGGGAGATGAAATCTGGAAATCAAATAACCCAGTCCTATGCCATGGAGGGCTTTTGCCAAGAACTAAGAATGACACGTGGAACTACTTAAGAGAAATTTCCTTCATTGTTCTTGATCTATAGACAGAATCTTGCCAGACTAAAACAACTATTTGCTTAACCATAGATATGCTCTTAGAAAAGCTAGGGAAGAGCTGTTTTAACCCTCTACCCACCAACCACATTTTCCAAGCTCCACTAGCCCTTTATCCTCTGCTTACAGAACAACAGCTGGATGTAAACATGGCAGCAGGCAATCTACTTACTGGTAAAAGGGATGGGGCAATGGCTCTATGGTTGTGACATGTATCAGTCCCTTCTGATCGGTCAACAATGATGTCCCTTCCCACTTAGTTTCATGGCCAATGTCTTTCACATGGACTAATTCATTCCTGAGGAGCTTTAAATCCTCTTCTTCTTCCTCTGCAAGGACGGTGAGTGTTGCTCTGGCAAAAAAATTGCCTATGGACAGAAGGAGGAGAACAGAAAGAAACAACATGACTTCTGCAAATAGTGTGCCAGTATCTACTTTCCTAAGAACGCTTGCACATTTTTAGATCTCTAAAAGTTCTATTCCAGGTCATTTCAATTTCCATGCAATACCAAGACTATGCTGACAGTTTAACATCGGTTTTTCCTGTCATGGTGCTGCCACCATGAAATTATCTGTTAGCATAGGATTCTCTTCAAAAAGATCTCAGAGGCTTTCTTCTCTGCAAGAATATCTCATATAGTTCAATGTCACTTTAAACACATAGTACAAATTATTTTTCCTCACTGTAGTCTAACATGGAGACAGTTCAATATTTCCCAATAGTTTAAAATGTTTTTTTAACGTGCAAAAAAAGGGGGGGAAAGAAGTAGAAAATTACATACAGAGACATCTGCAATGGGGAAGGATCAGAAACACTTCGTTTCAGCTGAAGAAAATTATTTATATACACTGAACTCCTCCACCCTTTGCCTAGCCATAGCTTAGGATTAGTACTAGACAGTTCTCTGCTGCTGGAAGGGTCCCCTGATATTGGAAGTAAATGTGTAGATACTATCTGTTACCAGAATAAGTTTTAGAGATATTTGAACATGCATAGATTTATCCTCCAATCCAATATTTTCTTGCATATCTTTTTCCCATATCCTTCTTCCTCGTCATACTGGAGACCTACTTTACAGCATCGGGGGTGGGTGGGTGGGGGGTGGATTCTGACTTGGTTTCTTACCTTCCTGGAGGAGAAGACCCAGATACATGGTGGTCATGCAGTCCTCATCAACAGTGACAGTAATCTCAGTATCATCTACTTGAGCACAGTTCAACCAGTACTCAGGAGTGAAGAGAAGGTGTTCCAGGCAGCAACCCACATATCCTATTTCATCATACCAAAGATAGAATGAAAACCTGCAATGTGCTTTCCCCAAAAGTCAAAGCAGTATTTATATTATTATTATTACAGACCAACGTTTAACCCAAATTGTCAGCCATTCCATAGAGTCATATGAACAACAAAGCGTGTGTTTTTCCAGTGCCTGAATAGCAGAGACATTCATAGCATATTAAACTAATCTTTGAAAAGAAAATTAGAAGAGGTTCATGTTTTGCACTGTAGTTCTGCCTTAATACTATGGCCAATATATTTTATGTTCCCACAACTGCCCCTCTGATGGAATGCCAGTCATTTGTCAGTGGAGTGTGATTTACCAAGTGCCAAATAAGTGGAAAACTTCCAGATTTCTTCCACAGTTCTGAAGGAAAGCAGAAAGCGATTCTCCTGTGCCTGGATGCATGCCAGCCTAGCTGATAGCTCCTGCAAAAAGACAGAAAATGAGAAAATTTAACTATCATAAAAGATTAGCATGTGCCTTATCGTATTTCTTGCAAATTATAGGTATGACATTTGGAATTTAGAACTTTAGACAAGGTGCGAGCTACCCTGGGACAATGACATCTAATCAAGAATTAAGGATTCACCCTCAAATATGGGGTCTAAAATAAAGTATAGAGTGAAACTTGATCAGATCCATGTGCTAGCCAGCTGTATCTTCTTCAAAATATGACAATCTATTCTCCTATTTTCCCATCATCTCTGTTCCCCAAAACATAGCATTTTGTAATCAGCCCATTGAGTATGATCCCTTGGTTGGTTTTTACCCAAACAGCTTATACGTCTTTCAGTTTTGTCCTAAATCCAAAACCCTGTGTCTCTTCCAAGTGGTTTTACTATAATTACAGATCAGTACTGTGGGAATGAGTGGGCTATGCATATTTAAGATGTTAATGTATGTTGATAAAATCATCCTAAAACATTCTGCAGCATTTAAATTGTGTCCAAATATCTAGATTAAAATTTGCACAGGCATGAAGTACATGACTATAATTTGGGCCCAATGCAGTTTTAGCCTAGCTATCACACATCATGTTTAAATTGTTTTGAGATAGGAGGAAAAGGCTCCGTGTGTGTGTGTGTGTGTGTGTGTGTGTGTGTGTGTGTGTGTTTACGCATAGCATTTGATTTTATAGGTCAGAGGCTTGTTGATGGTTTGATCTCCACATTTTACTGCACTCACAATGCCACTTAGCAATAAATAATAAATGGAGATGGTAATGTTCCAGCCTCTGGTGGGGCTATGCAGCCATGAGAAACACTATGAGCAGATGCCATACAGCTGTACAACAACATATGCTTTGCTTGTAGTTCAATCTTCAGTATTTCCAATTAAAGGTATTCTAGGCAGTACATCAGCAAAAGATCATACTGAGGAACTGTTACTTCATTAATGGCAAGATGACCAGAGATCTGATTCACAGTTTTGTTTTGTTTTTTCAAAAAGTTACACTAATACAGTTTCCTTTGAAAACAATAGCAACCAGCACTTTACCTTGAAAACAGCACAAACATCTTTATCGTCATTTTCCAGGGCCCATAATTTCTTTCTCGCTATTTCTTGTAGCTGCAGATTGAGATCTTGTGCAGAGCGACTCTTGACAGAAAATGAGAGAGAAATTGCTTCAAGAAAAAGAGAAAGAGAAGAAATTAAATGGGAGAAAATGATACATTTAAACATTTCTTACTTCTGTCACTTTGAATAGATAAGGACTCTGGAATGCTCATTATTGGAAGGCCTATTTAAAACACTATAACTGTAGCTATAGCTGCATAACAATCAGCTCCACCACACTAGTTTTTAAAAGATGTAAGAGAACAGAAGCAGGAAAGTTATCCTCCTCTAGAGATTCTTAGAAAGAAAAAGGTTGGTTGGCATCCAGCTAAAAGACATTTTCTGAAGATTATGAAAGTTACCATTTAAGACATTTAAAAGGTATCATATTAGTTATCCCTGCACTGGGTGACATAATTACACAGGGGTGGGATTCAACTGGTGTAATTACCAGTTCAGTGACTATGTTTTGCTGCACGCATGTGTAAAAAAATCTTAAGCTGTGCCACCTGGAGACCTGAAAAGCACGGCACGCAGGTGCATAGCATCTGAAAAGCCACTTTTTTTCCTGCTTTTTCAACCTCATCTGTGCCACGCAAAGTAGCTGAGGTTGAAAAAGCAGGAAATAAAGGACAGGTAAGAGCCTGGGCGGGCAGGTGGGCCAAACAGCAGCAAACACAGAACTGGTTCAGTGTCTGCTGCTCTCCAGAACTTCCGGTTCTATAGAGCCGGGCAGAACTAGTAGCATCCCACTCCTGTAATTACAGTTGGAAAGCAATAAACATCTGCAGTCAGCATCTGATTAGTAGTGCAGTAGTTGAAATAGCAACTGGGTTTCTTCATGGTTCTGGGAAGGGATGCTAAGAATGTATGGGTTACCTCTGTTGCTGTTGGTCTTCCATGCTCAGAGAAGATTCACACACAAACAGAAAATATTGCATAAAAGGTCTCAACAGGCAAAAAGTGGCATTGTTGATCAGCCCAGCAAGTCTAAGAGGAACTTATAGAATAAGATGCTTGCCAAGTTCTGCCTAATATAAGACGTCTCCTTTGCTAACTCTGCCCAAACGAACTCAATAACTCCTTTTCCATCCAGACCTTATTTCCTTCACCATTTATTGTTACTGCAATCCATTAAAAGGCATTAACATAATTCTACAATTGTCATTTTACTCTCAAGTTTTAAGTCAGAGCACTTCATTTCCCCCAAAATTTTCTATCATGGATAAAACATTTTTTTTAGCATGTACCTTTTCTCTCTGGCTGACTTCATAATACATTATTGCAGGGAAATCAATAGTTATCTGAAAATGTTTCAGAGTGGGAGCTCTGTTTCAGTTGTAAACCCTATACTTGTAAATTAAATCTGAATAGGTTCTACTGCACACAAACACTTTGAATACTGCTTAACTGTTGGCAAGGTGTCAGCTGATATAAGAAATTGGCACATCATTTGATCAATCTTGATGCCTTTTGCCCTGACATCTTCCAGGTATTACAGATCAGCTATCAAAATTTTTATTCTCCTTCACTTCTTCCATTTTCATAGCTCAATCTTTGATACTGCTAATAGCAATATGATGTGAAGAACACTAGTGCTCATTTCCAAGAAATGAAATTCAATGACCCTTCCTTCCTTCCTTCCTTCCTTCCTTCCTTCCTTCCTTCCTTCCTTCCTTCCTTCCTTCCTTCCTTCCTTCCTTCCTTCCTTCCTTTCTTCTTTCCCAACATAAAATAGCAATTAAGACAAAAACTTACCATTTGGGAACCCTTCCCCTACTGCCAATGAAACGGACTCAGTTTCCAGAGTGCCCTCTCCTATCTGTGCAGGATGACTTCCTGGATCCAGTTCTTTGGGGTTACCTGATAAGTCACCATGCAGGCAGAAGGACTACTGTCAACTTTTTTAGAGGAAGTAAAGTACGGCTGTATTGAAGGGGGACATGGGAATATAAAAGGAGCTGCTAAACACTGACAAATGAATGGACAATCAAGTCCAAGGATGTCAACTGAGTAGCACCAGCTCCCTGACGTCTCAGAAATCTTTTCCAGACTTACAATCTAAGCTGGGACTGAATTTATTTGGGGAATTACATTCCCCAAATAAATCTATTATACCCTTTAGTATTGGGGTAGAATTGGTATGACTTTTACCAAGGTAGAGAAGCTAAGAGTATTCCAACTCTCACCCCACATCCCAGATGGCCACTTTTAGCTTTACTTTCCTCATTGATTCCCACATTTTACATTTTTCTACACTTATTATTTTGAAAATCCTCTGACATTCAAGTACATTTTATCAGATGAGTAGAATAAATACAGAAAATGAGGTGCAAGGGAGAATGGAATTGTGACAAAGGGCAGGATTGTTTTAAGGACTTAAAGACAAAACAGCAGTGTAATATCACCACATTATTTATTATCATGATCTAAGGAATGTTGTTTCTGTTTCTTCAAGGCTTTAAAACCATGTTACCTATTTTCATGATTACTTTTCACTTGCTTCTCTCCCAACTAAAAATACCTCATTCATGAGTATTTTATCTCATGAAGTGAATGAGACCCATGAAATTTTATGGGTAATAAAATTAGTTAATCTTTAAAGAGCTGGGCTGAGAAAGAGAAGGTGACCAAAGTCACTCAGCTGGTTTTTCATGCCTATGGAGGGACTAGAATTCACAGCCTCCTGGTTTTTAAGCTAACACTTTCACCACTACATCAGATGGGCTTTCATTTTATTTGAGATGTCAGTTTCCCATTTCTCTGGTTATTGTAATGTTGCTCTTGAAAGATTAAATAAATCAAAATACTTTTGGTAATATGGAGTCTGAGAACAATTATATATTTGTGTATTATTTAGTGCAGATGAAAGTTCACTTTTAAATATCCATATCTTTTGCCCCTTGCCAGTTCAATTGAAGGAGTTATATGGTGTACGGCATGTGAAATTATATATCTAGGACATTCATTCCTTAATAAATGTATCAATCAACTTTGTAATAAAATTTATAGTAAAAATAGGAAGTGCCAGAAGTAATTTGGATGGTTTATGATGGTTTATTCTAACCTGCCTTGAATCTTAGAGGTGAACTCAAAATGTTACTGATAAAACAAAGCACAACTTGTTACTTTAATAAAGCCTTGATTGAATGAGAGATCCTTGAAATCATTTCACTATATAATAACTGGTATCACTAAAACGGCAGGGCTGTCAAACTCACGGCCTGCGGGCTGGATGCATCACACCCACGCCCAGTTTAATGAAGGGGAAAAAGGTCATGATACATCCCATGATGATGCCTTGATGACACGAGTTTGACACCCCTGCTCTAGAGTAACATTAATCTTTCTGGTGCCTCTCAAGTGGAGTCTGCAAAAACTGCCTTGGAGAAAAGGAGCACTAGGATGCTGCTGTTCTGGAAGAAATGCAGCTGTTTTACACCCAATTGTATGCTTTATTTGGGGAAGCTGAGATAACCTGTAATAGCTATAAACTGAAAAATCCAGCCAGGTTCATATATCAAACATAGCCATAAAGCTCCCAGAATGAGGAAATTTGGGCAGTAATTATATTATTGAAGACTAAGGCCCCTTTTTTAAAAACCACAATGCATTTTCCCACCTGTTCTAGCAGTCTGATAAGGTTTAAAAGTCTGGAATACATCAATAGCTGACAAAGGCTTCAAAACTGCCAAGATAGAGAATATGGGTTGTAAACAATGGCAGGCTCACTTAAATTTTCCCCTCTTCATTGTCAGCTCCATCTATAAACATAAAATGTGATTTGATTTATGCTGAAGTATAAACTCTAATGGAGTTCCAAGTAAAAAATAATGGTTTCTTTGAAGTTTATTAATCGTGTTGTATTTTTTAAAAAAGTCTCCTACTGTGTTTTGCTTTTTCTTGTAGTTTCTCTATGTAGGGTTGAATTTTAAGCCCCCAACAAGCAATTCAAATAGCGCAAAGGCACATCTTGTAACAGGGACGCCATAGCCATGTCCTTCACTGTATTTGTTATAATAAAAGATTTTTTTTTCTCAAAAAGGGAGGAAGTGACAAGCCGGATTTTATATGGTAACCATATTTTCCAGAGTTATTGTAAATCTAAATAACTCTAGCTCTTATCATACTAATCTCATCCTTATGATGGGTGCAGGCACTTTGCTAACTGAAGTCATTCTGCAACAAGGACTCTGGGAAATGATGGCTCCTAGAACATAAATATTTACAATATAGCCACAGCAATAACATATTTTACATAGTAGGAAATGGCCCTAACTTGCCATTGAACTTTGATTAATTCAGGGATAAGGAATCTTTCTTTGCCATCTGAGCTAGAAACCCCTAGGAGTACATTGTGAGCTTATGGTAACCATGACCTGGTTCAAGATTCCAAGTCTACTGGTCTAAACTTTTCTCTTACATACTTACATACCTGCCCCCATTCACATTATACACCACCAGGCAGTTCTCTCTTTACTCTTGCTATAGTAGTGAAAAAGGACCTGCTCCTTCAGTAACCATCTCTTCAAAGCACTTCAAATACCTTTACAGGCAGTTGCATTTATCCTTCTCCCTTTTCCCTAATGGGTAATTGAAGGCCTGGAAACTTCTGAGGGAAACAATTTGTTTCTCCCTTCTACCTCTTCTCTGAGATAGAAATTTAAGAATCCTGTGGGGTTCTTGCCTCCTTTCCATAGAAATAATTAAAACAGATAAATTACTTAAATTCAGGGCTAACATGTACAGGTAGTGCTCAACTTATGACCAGCCAATTAGCGACTGTTTGAAATTACAATGAACTCTGAAAAAGTTACTTATCCAGATTTGAACTTCCAACAGCCGCCACCCCCTCCAATCACATGACTACATTTTGGGGATTTAGCAACCAGCCCTTATTTACAGCTGTTTGCAGCATCCTGTGATCACATGACCATGACTTACAGTGTTTTTGCCCAATAGCGAACAATGTGTTTGCTTAACGACTGCCATGTTTGCTTTGCTATCTCCATGTTTGATTAACAATTGCCACATAGAATGTTGTAAACTTGGGTTGGGGTTGTAATAGCCCACTTAACAAGCAACACAACTTACAACTATAATTTCAAGATCAGTTATGGTTGTAAATTGAGGACTACCAGTATGCCAATAAATGCTTTGATCTTTTCTAAAGGTTGCCTTTTCTTTCAATACTCAATTATCTTTGAAATAAATTCTGAAGTTCATTTTACAGTGCAAACTGTACCTACGGGCTCAGCTTTACCCTACAGGCCAAGCCACACTTGATGATCTATTGTAGTCACCCACACAACCATACCCACAGTTTCAAAGCTGAAAACAAGATTGTGGGTTGGTTTTTTTAAAAAAATGCACCTGATGCCATCTTCTTCTCTGGGAAGCATTTTTCTGGGGTTTCAGCTTGACAATGTTGCAGACTTGACCAAGTAGCCAGGAGTACAGATTGGATAGAAGATGATTTTGACTCTGCACCTGGAAAATGCATGGAGCAAATGAGATACAAGTTAAACCAATATTGTTAATGCTAACTGGTATATTTCGCTAGTCCAGAAACAGAGAGAAAGAAAACAAAGAAATCAGGTCCTTGTTACAATGGATCTGATCTGCCTCTTTTGCAATTGTTGTCAGCTGAAAGTTCAGAAATGCAACTATAGTTACTTATTTATTTTAGTTCAAACTGCCTAGAAATGGGGAACTAAATGGTTAAATAAGTGAACTGAAACTAATTCCACTGTTTGCACAAATTATGCTAATGTTCAGAATCTTATTTTTAAATAACAACATTTCCATAAGAACAGGATTGTGGAGTGCCCTGAGTATCAATTTACTCTTTGAGCATCAATACAGTGACAGGAACAGGGCAATGATACATTTTTGCACTGATATCAGCCTAATGGATGATTCTGATTTCTCACACCCTGGGTTACTTTACACTTCATCTGGAATAAGCAGAACTAGGTGTGAGTGGGCAATCTGACCCTCTGGATTATTTCCATTGTCAGATGTCCTTGTATTAAGCTTGATTCCATATAACTGTACCTAAGCAGTTTTTCCCTAGCATTATAGAACTAATTTCCTACTGCCTTCTTCCAGCTATTTTTTAAACTTCTCGAGCCAGTCAATATCTCTGGACTAGCCAGGTAATTCTCCAATATAAGGGCTAACTTTGCTTAATTTATGAGATTGTGAAAGTCAGTTAGGTGCTGCCAGTTGCATTCCCTTAATCCTTCATCTCTGGTCATACTGACTGTAGTTTATAAAAACTGCAGCCCCAAAGTTCTGGAAAATAACAGAATGGACTATCCATGATCTAATGCATGATGGGGTGGGGGGAGTAGCATTCAAAAAAATACAGAATTTCTGCATTTAATGTTTGAAGAAATGGGTTAGGTACTGTTAGGTACAAAGATGATATTCAGCAGGTTCTGATCAGTTCTGGTCACCTCTGACTGGAGATTTTACAGTATCTTTCCCCTGCCATGCCCACCAAGCCACACCCACAGAACCAGTAGTAAAAATATTTAAATCCCACCACTGCTCTGTATGCCTGACAAAACATCCTTTTAAGTTCAGGAGCTACAGTGTTGTGGCTCCTGGCTGCATTGCTCAGATAGTAGCTTAATTTCAATCCACTGCTGAAAACTACAGCACTGCAAGCATGGGAAGGAACACTATCAAGAGTATTCAGCTACATTTCTCAGAAATTCAGATGTTGCAATCAAACTGCTGCAAACTAGACCACACAATGAAAAGCCAGTATAATTAATGATGACCACGCATTTGTGAACTTGTCATATTTACGTCATCCAATCCATTCTCATTGCTTTAAGTGAAATGAAGAAAGAAGTCACATAATTGTACTCATTAAGATTAATATCTCTTATTTCATGTTTCATGTTCTTCCCAACACTGAAGCTATTAGATAAGCTTACCAAAGCCAAATGTTTTATTATAATTTCGTATGAATTGTTAATGAATTATTCATAGTAACAGCTACTATTAAAGCTAGAGTAAAAATCACCGCTCAGGATTTTCTCAGGCTAACGAGACCAGCTTTAGTGGGGGAAACAAGGAAGAGGAACTTGCAGAATAAGGCTTCTGGAATTCTTTCCAATCCCTTGTAATAGCTTCACTCTGGATAACATGACTGGGAGTAAGAAGAGAAGAAGCTTCGCATTGACAAATCACTAACGTTCAGGCCCAATACTCAATTGCTTTTTCTATTGGTATGCATTAGGGATATGCTCTTCTCTGCAGCCCTAATGATCTTCCTTCCTTCCTTCCCTCCCTCCCTCCCCCACATCAAATTTGGTCCTATTTTGTTCTGATTTTGAAAAATTACTCTGGTGATAGAGAAAGTCCAGTACATCCCTATTGCTGTTAACATTTTACTCTAGCTAGTCCTGCAGAAAGTTGAAAAGAAATGATGTAAAGGGATTTGGGGTTTCCTCTGTCAGCAGAAAAACAGCAGCATCATTATTGTGCTGCAGCTATAAAGATAGAAAAATCAGCTGCTCTTTTATAAATCCATAAGTCCCAGCATACATTCTGTGTGAAGCTGGAATGTCTCATTTTGAAAGGAATATTATTATAAAACTAGGGGAGAAGATGTAGAAAACCAAGAGAAAAGCATATTAAGCATGAATGAAAAGGGAAGAAATAGTAAGAGATTGCCCCAAAAGACAGAAAAGCAATTGCATATGGTTGATACAAGGCAACAAATCCAAGTTCCTCCACCCGTCCATCCTTAGTCACATAGGTATTAAATATACATAGTGTAAAACTATCAAGTACTCCCTTTGAAGCATATGAGCAGGAAAGCTAGAAGTGAGAAATGCTACATATTTTCCATGAGGGAAGCCATAAGCCCCTGGCTTCACAGCCCTGAATTACAATAGATTTCCTGTTTATGGCGTGTTTCCAGGCCCCTCAACCATTAATTGCTGATAGAGAGGCAGGAAACAATGGAGAACAGAGAAGCAGGTTAGATTTATTTATTTTTTCCTGCAGCATTGCCAGCTATTCATGAAGAGCTGTCACAAAAAGGCTTAAAGGCAAACAAGAAGAGGCAGAAAGTCCTAACGCTTTGCTAAGGGTGGGGTTGGAGGCAGCTCACCTGTTGACCACATGGAACCTTTCCTCTGTAAAGGGAAACCAAAGCAGCAGCCCATGTGTCCACCAGCCCAACTGATCCCCCCTCACAAGTCCTCCCTCTAGCAGACCCAGGACAAGACTAAAGCAGATCTCTGCGTCAGGTCTTTCAAAGCGTTCCATTAGTTATGGCAAAGCCAGCCTCTCAGAACACAATGCATCTGTTGATGGGCCTTGTGAGGTGGGAGGTATAGCTGGGCCAGTCGCCCAACAGGCAGGGAATGCTCAGAATAACTCACCCATTTCAGTGGTCTGCTCCTCCCAGCACCACAAACACACACACATGCACATCTTTTCGGATTGTGTTTCAAATGCCAGGCAACACATTCTCAGCATTCTGAGCTTTTTGGTGGGTGGTAATGGGAAACTCAAAAGCTTTTTATACAGTTGATTTGGATGCCCCTTTGGAAACCTCATAACTTTTGAGTTGGCACACGTTGCAAATCAGGCATACGGGAACCGCTGTTTGTGTAAATCATGTCCATCGCCACTCTCACTCATGATAAGCTGATGACTTCTGGCAATTTAATTGGAAACAATGAAAAGATACAGCGCCATATCTAGCTTTTTCATAATTAAAGAGATATTCCTCTCTGTTATTCTGTACCAGGAAATCTTTTTAATATTCTGTTTTCTAAAAACAGAGCAACTTAATGTAAGCCACCATCCCGCACACGGCTAGCTAGAATAATAATCTTATACTTCCAAAGGTCAGCAATGTTTATATAAGGTTTATTTTAGGTACTTTGCATATGTCTGAAATTGGGCAACGTACGTTCATATTTATTAATGAGAGTTTATAGAATGTAACCTATTGCTCTTCGCTAACCATCAGAAATATGATTCTGATCATCATTGGAAATATGAGCTGAGGATCTTAGTCATGGGGCAGAGGGGGAATATAGCCTTGTTCCAAAAAAAGGGGAGAGAGGGAGAGGGAGATAGAGAGATAGAGAGAGGGAGGGAGGGAAGGAGACCCTCATAACTGGGACAATGAATTGAGAACCCATTCTTTATCAAAAGTTGAAATAAAAATATTTGCCTGTTTGTTTCCCTGCTCAAGACTGGGAAAACCGCAACTAAGCTATTTGATAAAGGGGAATGAAAAATAACCACACTAGTAAGAGATCTTCATTCTAAATGTATTTGCTGTAGACATTAAGTCAAGTCTGGCACTAACCATAGCTAATTTATCCAAAGCTGTAGGTTGATGGAGGAAAATTTTTAAAAGGTAATGGATGGGATCAAAGAGAACAGAGACTTCTAAACAGTCTTTAGAAGAGCTGCAGAGAACGGAATCTGTGAGAACACCTTAGAATGGGACCACACACAACACTACAATGGATGTAGAAACAGGGTGCACAACACTGTGATTCTGTTTTTGTTAGTCTGATCTCATTTACCCTCCATCTCCCATGAATCATGCTGCTTGTCCAGCATATCATAGATTATACCTAAGTAAACTTATCTTAATTCCACCAATGATGTAAAGAAAGGGCTAAAGTAATGAAAGCATCCCGGAATAATAAAGTTGCTGCAATGAATTTACCTGGAAGTAACTTCTGAACAGACATGCAGAATTGGACCATACAGGTTTTACTGAGATGTCTCTTAGCAATAGTAATAACACTTAGACTTACAAGCCACTTTACAGTTCTTTACAGTCCTTTCTAGGTGGTTTACAGAGTCAGCCTATTGCCCCCAACAATTTGGGTCCTCATTTTACCCACCTCGGAAGGATGGAAGGCTGAGTCAACCTTGAGCTGGTGAGATTCGATCTGCCAAATTGCAGACAGCCGGCAATCAGCAGAAGTAGCCTGTAGTACTGCATTCTAACCATTGCGCCACCGAAGCTCTTCAACACTTCTTTGAAAAGAAGTGATTGATATGCCTGTTGGTAATTAATAGCTGCAGGCTGGTTTTGATTTCTCTGTTTAGCTACTGAGGCCAATGTGTTGAATAATCTGAAGTGCTAGGCAAGGATTGGAGAGACTGACTAACTTCAAAACTCAGGGTGGGTGGCCTTAAAGATAATTTAATAATCCCTCTGGTCTCACCTGCCTCCTTCAGATGGTTGTTTGAAAAAAAAGGCACACTTTATTTTTTGGAGGAAGAGGTAGGATTCAGTTGTAAGGAGGCTATTTAAAGAAGCTGGGTCTTTGTTGTTAATAATTTGTTATGCAATGAGTTCAGGCAAAAAGAAGTAGCATTTTATGAGGATTTGTACAGGTTGAGGGGAGCATTTGCCAAGGAAGATCTGTGGATCTTGGAAGTAGCTAGCACATTGCAACCTTTAAAAAAAAATGCAACATTCCACCAGCCTGTGCCACTAACAGAAGTTCTTCCAGATAAGTCTTTTTTTAATTGTACAAATGTCCTGCTTCGTTTACAGAATTCTAGCAAGTATCCAGATGCTGCCTCCCAACATCTCTTTTCACTGCTTCTTCCATCATTTCAGATAAGAACATAAAATGACTACAAAGCTATAAAATCACATGGTTGGGTGGAGATTATCTACCCAAAGGCGTTATTTTACAGCGTTGTAGTCATCTTATGAAAACTTTCAAATGAGAAGTCATTCATAATTTTCTCTTTATTTCTCAAGTCCTGGGATTCAGTGGAAATAGCATTGGGTGCTCTCAGCAGACCTCCTGAACCTGAGATCCCTCCCCTTGTGGACTTCCATCCCAACTTCTGCCAGCCCAGCCCAATTACGGGGCCTTTGCAACAAAATGGGCTGCCAAAATCCGGGTATTTACAGTGGAGGTTTGGTGCCCATGACCAGGTTGGGAGCTCTAATCCTTAACCTTACAAGGGTTGGCTGAGGCCAGCACGTAAGAAGGACTGAGCCAGGAATGCTTTGGCTTTGCTGCCGCCGCTGCGGTAACAGATAAGGCTGTCCCAGAAGGCGGACCTGGACCAACAACCCCACGATCAGGAAGGGACCCATTCTTTTCGAGAAACAGCCGGGAGAACCAACTTCACTGACCTGGCCTTTCATCTGGAGACATTCACTTCGGGCTCCGACCCTCTGGTGTCCTTTTCCCTCTTCCACCCGATGGTCGCGAGGTTCAAAGGGACTCCCGAGAGGAAGGAACTCCAAAACTTTCAGAGATCCGGACAAGCTTCCCCGCGCAAAAAAGGAGGCGGGCGCCCCTTCTCCGCTCCTCCTACCCTGCCTGCCAACCTCGCTGGCTCGCCCGCAAAAGCAAAAGGAATGTCCTCTCCGAGGCTTATCTGTCAAGGGAGCTCCGTTTCCCAGCAGCACCTTTGCGCGGTGAGGTCAGAGTTTCCCCGGGAGCCAAACCCTTAAACAGCTCCCGTGGCGAAGCTTGTGTAGCCGGCGCGGCTTGCGCCCTTCCTGCGGCGCGTCCCGCTCCCTTAACGGTGAGATGCGAGGGGAAGCTTGGCAAAGGCCGCTGGAGAAACGGGCCATCGATTTGTTTACCGTCGGATTCCCAGCGGCTTGGATCGAGAGAAGGGCCCGCCTGGGTTTTTTTGCTAAAACTAGCTCTTCTGGTCTGGCCACCTGCGCAAGCCAACCCTTTCCAGTGTCCCTCTCTGCCCTTGAAATGAACGCGAGAAGTTTCGCCGCTAGTTAAACATCAACCGAAATGGCAGAGTTAAGAAGAAAGTACAGGGGGACGGGGGTGTTTGTACCTGTTTTTGGTTTTGGTGTGTGTGTGTGTGTGTGAGAGAGAGAGAGAGAGAGAGAGAGAGAGACAGACAGACAGACAGACACAGAGAACTCAAGGGAGCCTTGCAGCTAAAAGAATAGGCCTTTGCATACACAGGCATATTTGAAATATTATGCCTCCTCACTTGCTATTGTGGTAACATCGATGCTACAAGGTACACTTAGTCAAAGAAACGTATATTAGGCATTTTGAAATAATATTTCCTGCTTTACAAAACCTGATGGAATCACTGTAAATTACCACTATTGCTTTCTGCTGTCTTGTGTTTTGGCCCTCACAATACCCTTGCAAGGCAGAATAAGCTCAAATAGTTCCTGGTACACTCTTTCTTTGGGGATATTTATTTTTCAGCCGCTTTGGTCTAATGGTTAAAGCACCCGACTAAAAATCTCTACTCCTGCCTTAGGCCTAAAAGCCATCTGGGTGACTTTGGGCTTTTTTCAGTAGAAAAAATAGGAAGGTGTATTAGGTGTGTCCTTGACCAATTTACCAAAATGATAAAGGCAGGATTAAAAATAACAAAGCCTACCTCCCCCCCCCCCCCAGCTTTCCAGGTATGGAATTTCCTGGAGATCTCCAGCCCAAGGGTTAAATAGATTTGACCCAGCTTATCATTCTGGGATCAGACAAAACCATCCCAAACAATATGATTCTCCCTGACTTTGATCCCCTTTTCTTTTACTCTAAAATCTGTTTTATCAGTGCTGTGAATCTAATCATTATAATTACAAAGCAGCCAAATGCCCTTCCGATATGTACAAGTTGCAAACAATACTTACTTTATAAGCGGAATAGTCCCACCATAAGAAATCTTCAGGTGCTAAGCAATATAGGCAACCCAGAGCATTTTCTGCTTTCCAGAGAGGGTGCAATAATATAATAGCAGTAGAACTTTGGCAAGCCTAGGTGTTTGTCTATGGCTCACCTACCATTTTGACCTTTGGCAGATAATACTTACAAGAGGAATGCAAAGAATGCAGCGGCAAAGGCATTGCACGCCTGTCCTGTAACCGTCAGTAAGTTGGTATTTTGGCTGCTCAGAAAAGTGAACAGGGGAGGGAGAGGAAATAGGACAATAATTCCTTGATTGTTTAAAGGGGAAAGGGATTTCCTTAGGAAGCCAGGACACAAGAAAATGTGGTGTTTTTGAGGAGAAGGCATCTTGCTGAACTGGATAAAGATTGCTGGGATAGTTTACAGGCTTAACACGTTGTGGGAATCCATATCCCGACTTGTTTGAAGTGCGCACTGTTTGCTTCATTGACTATCACACTACTGGGGTGTGTGGTGTGTGTGTGTGTGTATGTACAGAATTATGTTTGCTTGCAAGGCTACTGTTAAATGCAAGCACACACATAATCCTATCATTTCTTGCCGGAGCATGCATGCAAAATTAAATTTGCCGCCCTCTTCTTTTCAATTTGTCCTTAAGAGTAGGATTGATTCTGCTGTTTTCCTTTTGAATCTTTAAATAAAATTATATAAAAACATAGACCTGCAAGCTTAAACCTCCTGGGGAAACAGAGTAAAAGAGGCACTGCAAAGATTAGCCTACTGGTGCTTCACTGAAGGGCCTGTAAATACAATCCTGCATAAGCAAGCAATTTTTCTGCCTCTACTATTCTCCCTTTTTTCTCCAAAGACTCATTAGAGATATAAAGGAAAGAGAGAGAGAGAAAGAGAGAAAGCTGGTCATGATTCTGCCAGAGAATGGGTGAGGGTCAGCAGAGAGAAAGTGTGTTGGCAGAGAGAGAAATTAATAAGAGGCAGAGAAATAAAGAGTAGGAGGAGCATTAGGAAGGGCCACTTTAACTCTTTGAAGGACCTTTTACCCAGGATCCTTCAGCTCATGATAGAATCAACAGAATTACTGCTGGTCCTTCTCTATTAAGGGGGCAGAATGCTTCCAAGAAAAGCTTATCTTTTCAAATTGCCCTGCCATATCCCATGGAATATTATGATGTTGAAGGCGAAGCACGCAATCACCAAACCGGTTGTTATACCGGCAGCATCCCACCCCTGCATATAGGTTACCAAGAATTGAGTTTGACTTGGAAAAAAAAGTTTGCTTAAAAATAACCAGTTGCAATGAAATGAAACCATGCACTCATCCTTAAAGTAACATTAATAGCATCATGCACACACGCATATATTCACAGAGAGATTCCTAAAGCATAGACATTGTAACTCAAAGTCACACAAGGCAAAAGCCCTGTGATGTACTGAGATATTGCAAGATAAAAAGACATGAGATATACCATTTAGCTCTATGAATTAGGAGACTTTGTTATCAAATGCAGAGAGGGAAGCTTCAGTAACCACAGTGATTCCCAAAAAATTTTCTCATTTTGTTTTCTCTTCACCTGAGTGAACAAAGCTTTAGAAGAAAAACTCACCACTTTTTCTATACGTGCACCGACCCCACTTTATTCATTCTTATTTCTCTTATTGTGTGGCAGGATATCAAAATAATCATAGCACCTGCTTTCAAAATGTTTAGGAATCTTACCTTGAATTTTCCTGATTTCTCCCTGAAATGTGAAATGGCGGTCTGGTTTTAGTTTAATTTTCCAGAAGAGGCTAAAAAATTATATTTTCCTCTGGTTTCAGCATATTCACTTTCAAAACAGAATCTTGTCTAGATACCACTCATTATCACCATGCAGATGTGGTCATGCTTCTGCATGTCAGATTCTTATTCTCAGAATTCAACTACGGAACCGGTAGCTCCAATGTTGCAGGTCTGTTTTCATTGGAAACCCAAAAACATTGGCCAAAAGTTGCACTTTTTCCTTAAAGGATAGGAGCCCAGAAGCACAAAGGGAATAGTATCCCATAGAGCCTCGATGCCTGTTCCCTTCCTTCTGGCAATGGGATGGATTCCAGTTCTTTCAGTGCTAGTTTCTCCAGTCTGGTCTTCATTCCATAGATGGCACAATAGGTCAATATGGTATTTCTCCAGATTAGAATCCTCCTTCTAGCTCTCTAAAGGAAAAGGCATCTGGAAGACAGGGAACTGCTTCTGGCAGGTTGCTTTCTCATTGCTCACATGGCATCTATCAAGTGGTGGTCAGTTGGATTCACCTTCATTTGCTCTTCACCTTGTAGTTGCTATTTTCACTCTTGGGCTATTTTGTTTTGCTCTTAAGCCTTGCTAGAAATATCTGCTATCTTGCATCTTCAGTTGTGCTAAGTACTGTATCTTGAAGTCCATGAATAATGCAGGATAATCAATGGTCATTGGATGCAGGTAGAGTTGAAGCATCAATCTGCATAGCAGGATGTTACAGGCCTTTCTTAAGATTACAGACTTGACTGTAATCCAGATGACTATGCCAGGGAGACTGGAAGCCTCAGGTAATTGGTGGAAGTCTTTGGGAGACTGTATGTCACTTCCTGTTGTCCCGGTCAGCCAAAACCTTTCACTTCTTAGCTTCCTCCTGGGCATTCTTGTCCGGATGAAAGCTTCTTTGTGGCGACCATTGCTGACCGCCGCTCCACCGCTTTTGGAAAAGGGAGTTAAGCCAGCTGAGGAGGGGGGTTGCAATTCCTCTGGACCCCTGCCGGATCTCCCCTGTCTTCAGTTACCTCTATGGGGTAACTATAGCCCCCAAATCCAGCTGGATCGGGGGCACTCCAGTGGCAAGCGCAGCAGAAACCGCGCATGATCGCGGATTCCTGCTGCCGCCGAAGCCTTGCAAACCAGAAGTCTGTATGCCACTTCCTAAGATCCCCTCTGTAACAAGTGAATTTCTAAAATGGGTTCCCCCAGTCCACGGGCCTTGGTCCACTAATGGGCCATGACCTGTTTGAAACCAGGCTACAAGCAGAGGGCGCTTGTGCTCATGTGCAAAGCTCCATTCACAAACACCCTCCACTCAAAAGCCCTCCACTCGCGCAAGTGGAGCTTCAGACACGAGCACCTCTGCTCATGCGCAAAGGTAAATGTATGCATGGGGAGGACTCACGTGCCCATCCCCCATACAAATGGAGATGTGCATGTGCACTTGCCACTCACACATAAACACACCACCCAGGGCCAGGCTGCCAAGCTGGAAAGGTTGGGGAACACTGCCCTAAAAGACAGTAAACACCAAGAGCTATTCATGGGCCGTTTTGACAGAAGTGGAGACTCAGGAGCATTATGTTCCATGATGTTAAATTGTTCCTAATTACTAGCATTATGTTCTTTGCTCTATTTACATTTACCCAGAGTGCTGTGGTACTATTTTCTTTGTAGCTGCAATGCTACTTGATGGGACATAAAGTTTATCTCATGTTGAAACCATCCCACCAACGAAGTCTCTTCAGGCAGAATTTTTTCCATTCCTACCTGGAGCTGTCAGAGGTTGAACCTGAACGTTTCTTCATGCAGAGCATAAATCCCAGTATTGTTCTAAATACCAAGGTGAAGTTTGTACTTAGCATTCGGAGAACTGGAGAAAGTGTGTAAAGAGAAGTCTTGTAACAAGAGTTGGCAATCCTAAACTGGAATAAGGCAGCCTGTATTTGGGCAATGAAACAAGATCTCAGGGAAAAAAATGAAACAGTTAAGCAACTTTGAGCAATGGAAGTGAAGTGGTCTTTCTTACCACAGGAAAAAAGCATCTTAAATGTTTGCCTTGAGCTCTATTTACAGTACATCTCTGTGTGGGTTTGTCTGAAGTACTATAGGGTTTCCTGCCTAAGTAGGGAGTTGGACTAGAAGACCTCCAAGGTCCCTTCAAACTCTGTTATTCTATTCTATTC